TCCTAAACCGTTCAAACCATCAGATCTCACAAACCCTTCTTAGCACCACTATCCAAAACCTTAAGTTCTTAGAAATCTCATACGCCTAAAGCCGATGAATCCCAGAAGCTCCTTTCGCACGAACTGGATGAGACCGTGCATCGATGCAAAGATCCACTGGTCCATGTGGTTCGTGCTTGCCTACTTCGCGGTTCATTAAGGGTGTTGGGCTTAGGGTTTAGGGGCTTAGGGCCTACTTCGCAGTTCAGGGCTTGGGGCTTGAAGGGTGTTGGGTTTAGGGTTAAGGGTTTACGGCTTAGGGTCGAATCCGTAGTTCAGGGCTTAGTGCTTGAAGGGTGTTGGGTTTAGGGTTAAGGGTTCAGAGCCTACTTCGCGGTTCAGGTTTAAGGGCTTTAGGGGCGTTAGGTAACCCGCCTTTAAAGGCGTTCGGTAAAGGATCCAAAAGGGCTCTATGCTTGGAGGGTCGGGGGACTTAGTAACTGGTTATTTTAGGGACTTATAAGTATCATAACCCCAATTAGGGCTCCTATTAGGGTAGTTATAAGTCTACTTACTACCTACTTTACTAAGTCCCTCGACCCTCCAAGTGGAGAGCTTCGCAGTTCAGGGTTTAAGGGCTTTCAGGGTTCAGGGCTGAGGCTTTGAAGTTTTGCGTTTCTTCGTGGGTTCCCAGGGGCCTCCTTTGCCGGCGTTTTGGCCTGCTTGGGCACATAAGTAAGCCAATCTATCTGCCAAAAAACTGCTCTCATCTGCACCTTACTCTACATGCACACTGCAGCAGGACCGTCCCTAAGCCTCAAAATGTCCAGAGGGATGTGCAGCGACTTGCTTGTTGATGCTTTGGCGGTCGATGTGGAGAATCCGGAGGCTTAGTAAGCAAGACTGCGACACGGGCACCTCAGATTTCATATTTGGGGTTCTAAACGCAAATATAACTCTCCTTGCCTTACTTGCACCCCTGCATAGTCACCTGGTGGCTTCCCCGGAGCTTGAAACCGATACACCGGTCGCCGGTCGTCGGGTTTGGGGTCACGGGTGTCTGTTTTCTTTCTGTTGTTGCCCTCTCCCTAGGGATCTATAGAGGACTCATATATTAAGGCTTCTGGGCCCAAAGACCATACTATTTAAGGCTTTTGGGCTATTTTGATCCCCAGGGTTCTCCTCCTGCAGAACGGTCGGGAATCCTGGCCAGGATGAGGCTGTAGTGGGGACCTCTGCCCGGGTGTTTAGGGTTTGGGGTTCAGGGCCATCCAGTCTCGACTCTAAGCCCACGCTACACCAGGCTAGATCCCAACCCTCAAGACCTAAACCCCAAACACCAGAACCCTAAATCTCCAATCAACTGAACCCTAAACCCCAAAACCCTAAACCCTAAACCCCAAACACCCTAAACCCCCAAACACCAGAACCCTAAATCTCCAATCAACTGAACCCTAAACCCCAAAATCCTAAACCCTAAACCCCAAACACCCTAAACCCTAAACCCCCAAACACCAGAACCCTAAATCTCCAATCAACTGAACCCTAAACCCCAAAACCCAAAACCCTAAACCCCCAAACACCAGAACCCTAAATCTCCAAACAACTGAACCCTAAACCCCAAACACCCTAAACCCTAAACCCCCAAACACCAGAACCCTACATCCCCAAAAGAAAACCTCAGCCCGAAACCCTCTAACAACCTCCCAAGGCTTCACCCTAAACCCTGGAGCCGCCAAGCCAATACAGGGGCCTTAATCATTAGAATAGGGTTTAGGGTTTGGGGTTTAGGGTTTAGGGTTTAGGGTTTAGGGTTTCCATTATACTATAATTATCATAAGGAAACTCCCCGCAGTAGTTTAGGTAATTACCCATCGACCCCAGAGTAGTTCCTTTTTGGGATTACCTTCTAGGATTCCACATACGAACCCCCAAAAGGAAGTACTTTGGGGCCTCAGGGTATTAAGGCCCCTATATTAAACCCCGAAGTCCGACACTGTCCAGCCTTGACCTTCGCGGACTCGGGCCTCGCGTTTTCGATGGCTTGGGCTTGAGGGTTTCAAGATTTTAGGGGGCTTGGGGCTTGGGTTTTTTTAGGGTTTGGGAGTTTGGGGTTTAAGGGCTTAGGGTTAGGGGTGAGGAAGGGTTTGGGGGTTTGGAGTTTCGGGGTGCAGGGGTTTGGGGTGAAAGGTGTCAGGCTAAGGATTTAGGTCTAAGGTTTTGGGGCTATGCCTGAAAGCTTCTGCGGCTCCGGGGGTTTTATGAGGGCTTTAAATGAAGGTTTTATTCGCTTTTTCGGATCTACAGAGGTTTTGTAGTGGTTTTCATAGGCCTTTGTAGGACCTTAGGGCATGGGTCCAGGGTTCAGGGCTCTCCAGCTTCAGGCGGTCTGCATCTTTGGGATTAAAGTTTCGGCCTTTGGCGTGCCGGGGTGGCGAGGTTGCGCGGTTTTAAGACTTAGGTTTAGGGCTTGGGGTTCCGGGTTTAGGGTTCTGAGTGCGAGACGCCCGGTTGCTCGTGTGTGGGACATTCAAAACGCAACTTCTTTCTGAATGGTGTACTATTTCCATAATCCTGAATCAGAGGCATCCATGTCTATCTATGAAGCAGTGGCATCCAGGTCTGTAGCTAGGGTTCTTCATCGTGCCATCACATACACCTTCCGAATTCTGGCTAAGGATGATGTCAGTTTAAGGATTTAGGGTTGCTCCTGGTAACATGCCGAGGGACGAGAACTTCTTTCCACTGGCGCCCTCGTAGCGATAGCTCTCCTGCTGCGAAGGCGGGCTCATTGCACCGTTTGGCCCGTGACTCTTAGACTTTAGCCTCGATATACAATAAAACTCGAAGGCAACCACCCAGACCGTAGATCCCGAGGCCAAACCCCGAACCTCAAGTAATCGACCACCGAAAACTATGCCCCCCCCCCCCCCCCCCCCCCCGGCCCTCTGCAAGGGCTGCAACGGGATAGAACTAGGACCTTGCACAGTCAGCCCCACTCTCCCCTCCCCACCGCAAATTGGTTGCAATCGCAAGCCCTAGCTTCAAGCCTCCACACGGTTTGTACGGAAATTTATGCTGGAGCTGTGCAGTGTCGAATGTTGAGAGTACTTGTGATATATTGTGAATCTTGCCAATGCCGAAGAATTCTGGTTCCGCGAGTTTTGCATACACAACTCCAAAAACCCCTAAAGGCATCGAAGTTCTTCATTCCCGCGCCAGGCATGGGAGTGAACGTCTCAGGGCAGGGGTCACGGGGTGATTAGGCGGCGGCAGAATTATAAGAGAGGCCTGAACAAGTTGGTGATGCTTTTCCCTGGTTTTCCTTGTTGCCGCAAGTGTAACTATAGCGTAGTTCACCTATATATATATATATATATATATATATATATTTATATTTATATTTATTTATTTATCTATTTATTTATTTGTTGATTGTTCGGGGTTCGATGGCTTGGGTTTGGAGTGTTGAGTTTTGAGTTTTGTCAGGAGTAGCAGCTGTCCTGACCAGACGGAACATTGCAATAATTCGAGACCCCAACCACTCGCTGAACTCCCAAGCCCTGGACGCCCCACATGCATGCTTGGTCGAGCGTTCAAGATTTACGGAACCAATCGAAAACGCAAAGGGTGTACATAATTAGACCCCCCAAATGCCCCATAAGTACAAACCATAAAGATACTTAGACCCTTTGGGAAACCCATCCATCCTGCACAAGGAAGCGATAGGCGTTGAACATCGGCAGGAAGACATCCTCAAAGCTTCGCTTCGCGGTCGCGACGAGACGATGCCCAAAGGGTCCAGACATTAAAGTATGTACTTTTGGGGCCCAGATACCTCCTAAGAGCCTATTATGATGGCATATGGACCCTGTGGGATGTATGTGAACAAGAACGACGTCAAGACCGATAAGAAGCGCATGAAATTGTCACTGGTATTTGGACATGGCATCATTCAATACACCTACACACACAAACAGATAAACGAACGGCAAAGAAATCAACCGAGTAAAGAAGACAATGGCAATTCTTTTAAATGGCTGGGACATCAATATGTTCCTGCGGCAGGGCTCAGGGCTCGGGGTGCAAGGCGTAGCTTCGATTTAAACATAAGGTAGTATAAGGTTTAGGTCGGGTTTTCTTTGAGGTTTAGGGCACTGGTTTGGAGCAAGGATTCAAGGCTTAAGGCCGTAGGGCTGCGGTGAACCACCCGAAAGACGGCCCAACATCTGAAAGACTTGCGCGCACATAGCGACAATCGAGCTGTGGAGCAGGTTTCTGCAGAAGCAAGACGATTCATCAGTGTGACTGTAACTGTTTTACGCGTGAATATGAAGCACCACTTGGTAAATCCTAACCCCCCAAACTCCAAAACCCTAGGTCCTAAACCTTAAACTCCAAACGGCCTTCATGCCAACACCAACAGCAGTAAGCCGTGGCTTAAGAGTAGCTTAATTGAAGTTCTAAGTAGTCATAAGGGACAGTTATCTGATTTATAAACAGCTCCAAGAACAACACCTCGGAGTTAAAGGATCAGGGTTTCTGTGTCGGGTTCAGGGCTTGGGGTTTGGAGGTAAGGCTTACGCTGCAAAAAAGATTGGGTGTGATGCACAGCACTTGAGGCTCTGAAGCAGAAAGTTTACATAAGATTTAGGGATTAAAGGGTTTGGGTTTAGGGTTTAGGGTTTACCTTAACCCCGAAAATCCTTCATTTTTCAGGACGTATACAAGGAAATCAGAATAAGGAACCCTAAAATGGTAGGTTATTCAGGGTTAAGGTAGGGTTTAGGGATGGAACCTCCGCTGAAAGACTGTCCGGAAATTTGCCAGAGTAGGGCTCCTCTGCGTCGCAGTTTGGGGGAGTTTTGTCACCTTGAAACCTCAGATGCCCGTAAACCTGCAAGTACCTCCAAACTCTAAACCCTACCAGTGCAAACCAGAACAGTCTCCCCCATCCCTGAATCACCATGCTCGCAGAGCTGTTGGGGGTCAGAAGACGACAGAGTGTATAGGTAGGGATTTCACACGTATGGAGGTTCCGCAATACCGCGTATACGGAGGTCCCTGTGGCTATACATCCATAAGTCGTACATGAACTGGACCAGCTTGTACTCCGTGCCATACCCAATGACGCGTGACAAGAGCTTAGCAAAGAACGATGCTTTTGCACTCTGTCGGCGCTCCACACAGACAGGAGTCTCGTCGTCCTTGCCACGGCTTTCATCCTCGTCTGGCTTGTCTGCCCTGTATAGCTGCCGCTTGTCTTGTGATCCACTGTAAGTCTCGCACATGCTGATTTTCCAGTAGAGGTGAGGCCACGCTGCGCATTCGATTCCGACGCTTTCCATGAAAGCGAGTCGCATCTTAGCCGGCATGTCCTGGCCTGCTTCCGGCGCGGCGAGAAACGTGCGCTGCAGGACTCTCTTAGGTTTCGTTTAAGGTCTTATAGGGCTTGGTTTAGGGCTTCGGGATTTGCGGGTGTAGGGCTTTCGGGTGTAGGGCTCAAGGTTTTAAGGTTTAAGGTTCAGGGTTCTTGGCTTTAGGGTTTAGGATGGTTTAGGTCTTAAGTGGTTTAGGGTGACCCGCCCGCAGATGCCTTGACGACATCTCGCACGCCCTCCTCCTGCGCCAGGCTGGTGGGATGAGGCCACAGGGTTTCGGAGTTGGGTGCACTACCGAAAGAGGAGGCACAGAATTCACGGCTTTGGAGCTTGGGCACAGAGTTTGAGCTAAACCCAGCCCCTAAACGCTAAGCCGCTTGGCATTCAAGTTCTAGAAGTCAGACATCCCGGCGGTGTGAGTGAACGAAAGGCTTCATGGCCCTATCTGCGTCTGACGATGGACTGCAAGGCAGACTACAAGCCCTCTAAACCATAAAAAACCCTAAACCCCAAGGGGATTTATAAACGCTTGGAATTGCTGAGGATGCCGCATAAGCAGGCGGAGGTGAGGCTCTTGCAGCCTAAAGTAAGTTACTGCGTGCAAGCTGCCACTAGACTGAGCCAAAGAGCCTCAAGCCCTCATCAACCTTGAAACCTGAAGCTTCAGCTTTTAATCCAGTGCTGAATGCCTCCAAACCCAGTCCGCAGGCCTGAACCCAGGACCCCTGCACCCTAAACCACCGCTGTAAGACCCACGCAATCGCTCCTTGAACTTCAGCGGTTCTGCTCGGACCACACCAGAGTTCAGCATGTACATCCGGACCTACAGGCGTTTAGCTTGGTTGCTGTAGGTTTAGGGATGAGGAAACAAGGGCACTACGGGTTTAACCATCATCCCGAACCCATAACCCTGGACCGAAAACCTATCTACCCTAAACCCCGAGACCCAAAAAAGGTTGTATCCTAAACCCACGCAAATCCGTGGAGTCATCCGGTTCGGGCGGGTGCGGGGATTCTTCGACTCCAGCGCGAACCATCTACCTCCTTCTGTTCTACAGAAGTGTCTCTGCGAAGTGTTCGCAGACACTTTCATAGTACCTCCTTATGGGTAGGGTTTGGGGCTTAGAGTTTCGGGTTAGTGCTACTATAGGTACAGAGAAGTACACTACATAGTCTGATTCGATGGGCCCGCAATATATTCCCCAGATGTTCTGAAACGCCGCACTGCCAGCAGAGACCTGGGATCCGATGCTTAAATTGAGTCAAAACCCGGCTGATAACAACAGATGTTACAGAAACGGTGACGGGAGGCCCAGGAGAAGGCGAAAAGGCGATGAAGAACTCATGGAGACATACTTGTGGTACTACTTGCCCTAAGGCCCCAAAGTAGTTCCTTTTTGGGGTTCACATACAGAATCCTATAAGGTAATCCACAAAAGGAACTACTTTGAGGCCTATGGGTACTGATTGCAAACTGATGAAACTTAGGCGCTTGTTGTCTAAGTCTTCTGCTTCTCATAGGGTGCAAGGCTGAGCCCAGCTGGAATGCAATCAAGGCACTGCGTCTGCACCATGGTTCTTCGCGACGTCCTCCCGATCATACAAGCTTTGATAAGAAGAAAAAGGTCAGCTGAACAGCACAGGGCATCCTTCTAGTCAGACAGCCTCTCAATCCGAGATTTATGAGACTCTAGATTTGACAATGGGAGCAGGTCGAAACTGTTCTACGACCCCAACCTGCTGAACGTAAACTAAGCCCTTGCGGCAAGCAAATAGAGGATTTGGGGTTGAGATGGGTTAAGGTTTAGGGACTTCCTTTGAATATATATATATATATATATACATGTATGTATATAGGGCTTAGGGCCTTTGCCGTTTAGCTATTCTTCAACCACCTCTTCAACAAGACCTAAGCGCGACCATGGCTACACGCATGCAGTTATGCACAATTGCCTTGCCGTCTGTGGCTGGCCTGACTTCTGCCATATCTGGTCTGTTCGCACATATACTCACCTCATGTGCTCGTCTAGACCTGAATGAAACAGAAATTGTATCAGACACACGATTAGTGACTGGAACTGACAGTCCCCTGTGCACGCAAATGCTGTTTTCGACTTGGCTTCTGACAGCGACGGACGGTGCATATCGAAAAAATCAGGCACATGGTAGCCACCGCTCTCGCAAGCGTAGATGGAGGAATGAAGCTAGTAGCAAGGCCCTCCTGTTTGAGCTTTTAATCCCGAGCCCTCATGACCCCTCATGATATACCGTGATCCCAAGCTCGAAATCTTAAACCTTAGACCGTGGAAAGCTGAGCTGCGCTGATCGGCCGTCGCAACTTGACACTCGGTGTCTGGTGGTGCGGAACGGACAGCTGAGAGTTTACGTTGCTGCAGAGTTCAGGATTTTTCGAGAAATTGTGGGATTTGGGCTTTGGGGTTTTGAGTGTAAGTCACAATAATTAGAATGGGGTTTGGGTGAAAAGGGTCTAGGGGTACACTACAGTGTAATCTGTGGAAACTACGAGGAAATGCGATTTCTGAAGGTTCATCAGAGGCCCATATTGGGGATCTAATTGTTCGAGGCTTCCCCCAAAATCCTAAACCCGAAATATTCAGGGCTTGCGATATTGTTTTGAACGCTTGTCGAGACGGAAGCCACGGGCGCTCTCAACGCGCAGGGTGCCGGGAAAGAATATGGGAGTTTCCGACAACCAGGGACCGAATAGTGTAGACGTTAGATAACTTGCCTTTTTGCGGGCCGTTCTCGCGGAAACCCTGGTCGAAGAGCCTCCGCCTGTGGATTGAAAGGTTGGTAGGGTCTGAGCCTCAAACCGTCAGACTCCAAGTAGCCGCCAAAGCAGCGCATAGCTAAAGCGTGGTTTAGGGCTCAGGGCCCACATCCCGAAATTCCTATTCTTGGCAAGACTGAGACGACTAGCATTGATGTGAAAGTTGTGAGTATAGCACTACCGACTGTTACCAGTGCTTCTGCCACAAGTGAGTAGTAATACTTGCTATATACTGCCTATAGGAGTCCCAGAGTACAACCCTAATGTGGCATAATATACCTCTATATCAAGACACCTCCCTAGTCTTGCTTGATCGCGGTGATCTGCGGTGCGCTAAACATGAGTCTCTTACCGGGTTCCAATGCAGGACCACCAGTGATCATCGTAGAGTAGCAATACAGTGAAAGCTATCTTGGCCATAATTGCAAGAATGAGCAACGAACAGCGAACGAAGCGATGCAGTGAGATGACGGTCGTCTGCCCCACTACTCGTTGCACCCTGCTAGTTCTGTTTGCTCCCAGTCTAGCATGACTCTTCATTCAACCGTCCCACGACGGTGAGAACACGAACTTTTTGCCACTAGCCTAAATCCGAATGATGATATCATACGCATGCAGCTCTAACCGATACTGCAACCCCCGCTAAAACCCACAGGGCCCTTACAAACAGCTATAAAGCTGCCCTGAGCCCCTTTAACCCAAACTTCTCTTGCGATCGTAGAGTCAGCCAAGGTCTGCGACCTCAGACGACTGAGAAGGCATCGAGCGCCTTGCCAACAGCATCAAGCTTGTCCTGCCGGGCTTCTTGGATTTCGGGTTCGGGAAGTAAGGTAATTATATACAGGATCAAGCGTTTCATCTTTGTAGTAACCTTCTTCAGCGTCATCACGACCACAATCCTCATCAGTAGTACTGTACTGCTTGTATTGTGCTCAGGGCTTGTGATGGTCAGCTTGTCAGGCTTGGCTGTGTAGAAACTGGACTATGGCGAAGGGCAAACCATGCCGCTTGTGGCAGCACACGTTCCGCCAAGCGAACACCCAAATCCTAAACCCTAAACACTAATCCCCAAGTAATGCTAAAGACCATGTCCTGAACAACTATATAACACTCAACTCTAAGCCCTACCTTAACCCGGCATAACCTACCTTTTTAAGGACTTATATAAGGAAATCTTAATGATAATAATAATAATAATAATAAGGAGCCCTTCCCTGAACCCTGAACCCCTAGCCCTAGAGGGATCAACAACAGATTGTCCTTGACAGCGGACATTGGGAGCACGTCATCCTGAGGGCAGACATTCCACACTGAATTGGAAACTACTGGGTTCAGGCTGCAAATGTGTTTTGTGGTTCAGGGTTTGGGTTTTAGGGATTAGGCTCTCTGTTTATGGCTTAGGGCCTCGGGAATTTGCCCTGAAGGGTCCCCGAATTTATGGGCTTGGGGATTTTGGGGACTGGCTCGAGAACCTTCGCCAAACCCAAACCCCGTTTAGGGTACCTGGACCCCAAAAGTATGTAGAATAATAGCCTTTTAAGGGAATTGGGCCATTATTTTATCTACTTTGGGGGGTTTGGGTATAGACCAACTCTGAGGGACTCTACGAAAAGGTAGGTGTTGGTAGGCTAAGGTAGCGTTTCCCCTCGGCTCGGCGTTGGAAATCGCCTCCGGTAGTCGCAAGCGATACATGCGAAGTCCAGACCAAATCAGGCGCGCACGTAAGTTGTATAGATCTTGGGTACTGCCCTCATAGAGTAACAGTCTATAAGAGGGCCTTGCAATGAGCCCCATTTTCCATAGGAAAAAACTATTCAACTGTTACTGAGTGGGGGCAGTACCCAATCTAAATCTTACCATCCGAGGTTTAAGCTATGGCCCCCTACTTTTTGAAACCCCCACATAGCCCATAGAAAGAGTCGACACCCTTGAAGAGGGTTCCTGAAGTAAAGGTATTGAGTGCTTCCATGTGAGGGTCCCTTCTTTTTGGGGTGAGCTTATACGATCCTAAATAAAAGCTTGGCCAAACCAGAAAAGGAACTATACTGACTATACTGGAGATTGTAGGCAAGCCAACAAACTCGCAATGGCCTCTTATTCGAGCTGAGGGCTTGAGGTTTGGGCTTGTGCGGTTTCGGTTTAGCGTTTAGGGTTCAAGGTTCGGGGGTCCAGGGTGCTTCACCTCGTGAGCCTATCTTCGCCTAAGGTGCCCCAACCTACCGTAAACAAGGGTTCCGTAATCATGGAAGTCGTCGTGCGTATATTCTCGAATAAAGTTACCGGATAACTCCGAAAAAGATAAGAAACCTTAAACCCTAAACCTGAACACTGCGGTTAAAGCCTAGGCATGGGAATTAGGATTTGGGCTGCTTCCGAGGAGGCCAAGACAAAGACCCTAAATCCTCCGAAACGCCAAGCCTTAGACTTCCTCTCTGGGTTGCCTTATGGGATCCTCAACAAGTGGACTACAAGAACTACAATGGAGACTATATGTAACCCCTAAACCTTAACCGCCAAAGCTAACATCCCGGCGGAGCGGCTCTAGCCAGGTTCAAGTTGTTCTTCAGATCGCGGAGCATGTCGCTGACCTTCCCGGCATTTCTACCAGAGCGCTCGGTTCGGATGTACTATTATGTGTACCATGCATACATAAACAGAAAAATAGACATATAAAGATATATACATATATATATATATATACAAAAGAGTATAAAAGCATATGGTACCGTTATCCTTTGGGGACTACTCGCCCGGCCCGGCGACAATATGACTAACTCTTCAGACCTTGGGCTAGTGAAATTGAACCATGAGATCGAGGGAGCTCAGCCCTTGTTGTAACACAGGCCGGACTCGCTCAGTTTGTTTTAAGTTTAGGGTTTTGGGTAGGCCTTCGAGTCCCGAATGCTAAACCCCTTCAGAGTTTAATGTCTACAACCATGTATGCAAACACTAACTAAAGCGACACGTCTACTCTGATGTGAAGTGTCTTTTTAAGAAAGCCCCTGCAAAATGACAAAGCAAAGGAAAGAACTTTAAGCAAGTATTGCGTTATGTAACCACAAATGGCTTCAACTAATGAGCACAACTTCCTCAAGCAAGCGCTTGGCTTTGCACAACGTGTAAGTTTCAAGTCTCAGCACTTCAAGCCTTCAAGTTGTACAAATTGTTGCTCTGGACATCAGGTTTTGCTGAGTCTGTGGTTCGCTTCGAGTGGTAGCAATCAAAGCAGGACATCTTCGATGATGCTAGAAATGAGGCGATGAAAGCATCCAAAAGACGTTGTGTCTGTCACCTTTAGTTGTCTAATCGTTTAGACGACATGGATGATGACACCCTCACCGATGCTGATTTATGCTCGGTGCTCGTCTCCCATGAAGATGGCCGAACACAACGAGCTCCTTCTTCTCGATCACCGTCTTAAGCACGAAGAGACTGCACTGCATCCTCTCGGCGGCTCCCCTGATAGACAAGGAACCGAGGACTTCATCTCAGATGGTCTGGAGATTCATGTCTGCCTTCAAGGAGAAGTTGATGGTGGGGCGGTCGCCATAAGTCACCAAAGACCGCACCTCAAAAGCTAAACCCGCCACTCCAATTCTTGAAAGCGACCAGCTCTTGGTCGATCTCCATCCTAAACTCTCAATTCAGGCATAGACCCAACAGCAGAAGACAAGGTTTTCACGGCTTTGCACGGATTTAGGATGCTGTTCAAACATGGTTGCTGTTATTGGGATTCTGCGGAATTTACATTTCAGGATGTATGAGGATGCTGCAATGGTTTCATAGGCTTTATTGCGCCCTGGGAAGGCTTTACAGCTCTATGTCGAGAAAATACGACAGCGAAATCTCTTCCAACGATTCAGGCCCCTCTACTATGGAATCTCATAGGAACCCTTATCGTCAAACCCTTAAGGGACCCCTTTTAAGGGAACCCTGCTCTAATAGTGGTGAGGGTCAAGAAAATGCAAGGGTTTAGGGGGCTTAGGTTTAAGAGTTTAGGGGTTGAGGGGTTCAGGGGTTTCGGAATTAGAGGTTCAGGGTTTAGGGGTTTGGGGGTTTAGGGATTAGAGGTTCCTGGTTTAGGGGCTTTAGGGCTTCTGAGCGAAGACTTGCCTGATTCCATAATATTCTGCCCCCAACGTTCATCATATCCAGAACTCAAGCACAAACCATTGCATTCAAACCAAGTTTAACAACATTCATAGCAGCACCACGAAAGCAAGCAGGAACAACCAAAACCACGTCAACAACACCACTGCCAATAAAATGATATGAACTATCCTCAGCAGAATTACCCTGCCAGCGCCCCCATCATCGTCATAACCATCATAATCATCATTGCCGTCATCAGCGTCATCCATATGACAAGCATCACCATCTTCTTCTACGTCCTCTCCTCTATCATCCAAACAGCAGCGTGGCAATAATCACAACAATCAATCCTTGCAGAAGGGTGTTCATCGACGTGTATGTTGCTTGTGGCAGCACATGTATGTCACATAGGTGTATGTGTGTACGTATATATACATATATATATATATGTATGTCAACATACAAATGTAAAAGTCTGATATTTACATAATATAGGCCATGCCTGGTCGGGCTCCGGGAGTGGTGTTTCGGAGTCCACAGTCCTGGCAGCCGCCCGGGTTTTTTGCCGATGGTTCTGGGGTTTCTGTGAGGCTTCATGAGGCGTCTGCAGCACGCATGGTACAGGATCGAGCCAGGTTTTGGAGCGTATGTCGGCATGCAAATGCTTGAAGCAACACCTAGAGACATATAGAGACAGAGACAGAGATAGGGACGGAGACAGAAGCGGAGATACGTACAAAGACATAGACGATGTAAACATATGGACAAATGGGTGGACAGGAAGCAAGACAGCTAAAAACATATACGCACATGGACTGATGGATAGACCGATAGATACAAATAGACTTCAGGGCCGCAAGCACTTCGGGATGAAAGGTTTCATATAGGGGCCTTAATAACTACCTATAGACTGTTTTGGGGGATTACTTATTATAATAATCATAGTATAATGGGTCCCGAAACCCTATTCTAATTATTAAGGCCCCTGTAGTAAGGGTAAAAGTTTCGGATTTCAGTCGGGGCTTGGGGCCTCGGCTTTTCCTCCTCGAGCTCCAAGTAGCCTCTGCCGTTGCGACACAAGGTCCCTGAGAAAAGCCCTTCATATAATAGGGAGGCCCCTCTCTGTAATAACAGGGGTACAATTTTCCTAATATAGGAGACCCCAAACTAGGGAGGCCCTGTTTAAAAGCAAGGGCTCAAAACAGAGACCTACCTGGTTTCCCTCTCCGCAATAACAAGGGTACAATTTTTCCTACTATTCGGTTTTGAAAAAGGAGATCCCAAAATAAAACGGGCAACAGTGTGCTACTCACTACTCAGGAACCTAACTATGCAAGGTCAAGCGAGCCGGAGGGACGCGTAGACTTCCGTCAGAGACCTGCGATCGAACTGAACCCGGCTGAAGCGCAGGTTTTGGGGATTTGGACTTGGGATTTAGGGCTCGGGGAAATCTCGAGGGGAGCGCTGGCACAGACCATACTTGTATCATACTATACTGACGTGTCAGGCTCGTGATGATGACCATGATAAAGACGATGATGAGGATGATGTTGGTGATGATAAGAATGATGATCAGGACAGAACCCGTAAAAATGAGACACCCCCATTCAGCAGGGCTTCGGATTTATTGTGGGCTTGGCTCCAGCAGCATGACTCCAGGTCCTCTGAATGCCAGAGCCCAGCGAAACGGTCAAGGGTTTAATTCAGGGTTTAGCAAACCCTAAACCTCAAACCCTAAACCCTCAACCCTGAACCGCAAAAAGCCCGTCAATTCTTCCAACATGAACAAAAGCATGACTATTAAACCCTTTTATCCCGTACAGACAAGAGACCAAGCATGTGCATAACGAAAAACAGAACCCTATAACCCCAAGCTCGGAATCCCATCAATCTTCAAGCCTGCATCCTGGATTTAGCCCTTATTTGGTTCAGGTTTTGTCACCCCTAAAGCCTGGAGGCCCCGATTTGATCTAGAAGCCCTGTGGCTCAAAAACATGGGTTTAGGGTCTCGGTTTTAGGGGTTTAGGGTCGTACACCTGCAACCCCACAGCATTCAGTCGAACCTTCTCACAGCACCCTAAACCCTGAACCAGAATAACCTCTTTCATACATGCCCTTCTTAGTAAGGATAGTGGATCCTAGTTTGAAGGCCCTTGAAGAAAGGGTATTGCAACAACTCTCGCTTGAGGCACCTGTCCAGCGTCACCCATGGCGATTCAGACAGCCGCTGCACGGTGAAGACCATCTCCTTCCCCTTCAAAGCTCTAGGGCTTCAGCGTTTGTAGGGTTTAGGGCTTTAGGGGTTTAGGGTTTAGGGGTTTAGGGCTTTAGGGGTTTAGGGCTTTAGGGGTTTAGGGGTTTAGGGGTTTAGGGCATTAGGGGTTTAGGGTTTAGGGTTTAGGGCTTGAGCATGTCTGTATGGGGCCCGATAAAATCGAATTGGGCTTTGGTGTAAATACATTAACTGATTAGAGCTTAAAGCAAGATCTTCTTGCTAATAGTGCTTCAGACTCCTATATTGAGGTTTAGGGTTAGGGTGTGATATAGGTAATATAGTATGGGGGCCTCAACAACAGACGTGGGATGTGGTATATTCTATACAATGCATGCTCAGGATCCCTCCAGCAAAATCAAGGGATATACAGGCTGATAAACAATGGTGGATGTAAACCCCACCTTAACCCTGAATATCCTACCTTTTTGGGGCTCCTTATTATGATTTCCTTATATGAGTCCTAAAAAAGGTAGGTTCTTCCGGGTTAAGGCAAGCTCTTCAGCTCCTTCTTCTTCAACAACACACGAAATCCAAATCTAGATCTTACGCGGCCCTCACACGCTAGTCGTGACAGCAAGCTCTACACTACAATACAAACAGATGAAGGATTCAAGGAACTCCGAGTAAGACATTTTCGCATATTCAGGCCCCGATAAAACCACACAAAACCATCGAAAAAAACCTGCAACATGCACAACGGCAATAAGGAGTTACCAGCGTTGGAACCGAGTAGCAAGTCATACATACATCCATGCGGGCCCAATTGGGCTGCACGAACGGCGAAACTTCGGGAAAAAAACCCTACATTGCCCACATTCTACTATATAGGTACTTTGGACCCTTTTTGCAGGGATTTATGAAGGAGCACCCGGGCGGGCCTCCTGCTTGGCCTTCTTCACGTCGTTGACAACCTGCTCCTCGTCCTCAACCCAAAGTAAGAGCCCCAGGCGCCCGAACAATTGATCTACTTGTCGGGTATCATGGGGAACTAAAGGTTAAGCTTGTTGGTGAAATAGGGATTATATAGGGGCTATACTACCCAGAAAAGGTTAAAGGTTACCTACTCTACTACTAAGCTAAGGAATAAACCTGAAATGGGCTTCATGCTAGAGCTGCTAGAGTTGACTTTGCAGCAGCACTCCCAAAGGTTTAGAGGGTGCACACGGGATCTCGCCCCCAACCGTCACTGCGCTCTGCACAGAGGTGCCAACTGTGAACTAAGAGGGTGTCTAGGGTTTAGGTAACCTTAGACCTTAGACTCAATTACCGTATAATTAAGCACCAAACCTTCAGTTCAAACCCTGCAGAATGAATATAGTGCCCGTGCATGCCTTTGCGCTGCTTGGGTTCTTGGTTTGGAACTCGTCCTTGAAAATCTGAACATTTACTTGTGCGACATTCCACGAGAGCAGTGTGGCTCCATACAACCGGCTAGGCATGGACATCGTGGGCAGCAATCACAACACACTTTGCGCGAGTGGCAGCTAAAACCCCAAACCGCTCAGGTTTAGCGGGAAGAACCTCGGCAAAAAAGGTCATGATAACAACAGTAATCACCATCGTCATCGTCATCATCCTCATCCTCGCTGCAATGATAAGAAGATTGACGCGGAAGCCCTTAGCCAAGGGCCTCGGTTACTCAGCCGAACTATGGTGCCTGAATACTCCGTAATACTCCTCTCGCGGGTTTCTGATTGTGCCTGCAGTACAGCAAGTAGTGTAGCCGTTATACCATATCATATATATTAAGTCTCCTCTACTGCCTCAATCAGAAAGCCTCACGCGAAAGACAAAAGGAGAGCCCTCCCCACTAGCAATACAGCACAGCCTAAAGCTGAAAAGGACGAAACGAATCCCCAGAAAAGTTAGGTCTTAGGACCGTTAACCCGAAAACTGCTAAAGAAAAACCTAAACCCGAGCTTAGGGTTTGCATCCCTTCTTCTCTCGCAGGTCGTTGCTCGAACAGATCTACCCGAACACCCACATAACACTGGGCAACCCTAGGATTTAATTTAGGCTTCAGGGCCTAGGATTGAGAACTCAGGTTTGCGGTGAAACCTTCTTCAATCCAACGCCTTATTGCGAGTGCAACTCATCAAGCCCTAAACCCTACTTGTCGGGTATCATGGGGAACTGAAGGTTAACTTTTTTGGTTATATGGGGATTATATAGGGACTATACTACCCAAAAAAGGTTAAAGGTTACCTACTCTACTACTAGGAAATTCAATCGGCCGGACGCAAACCCGTAAACCTAACGCAGGCGAATCCTTGGCTTCCTCGCCGTTGATCGCCAGAATGAAATCACCTCTGGAATCAAAGAAACGGGCTTTACGAACGAGAATAAGGATCCTTTAATGGGCTTCCGTGAAGGGGTTCTAGAATCAGAGCTACTTTGAAGGTCCCGTACGATAGAATATATGCATGGTTCTATAGGGGGACTCTAAGGGAAGACTGTGTTTGTGTAGTGGCTTGAAGGCTTGAGGCTTGGGCGATGAGGCTCCCTGAAAGTCTAGACCCCCTTCAATCGAGGAATAATTTCAATAAATATCTAAAACTGGAAACTCAAACCTTAAACACTGAATGGCTAAACGCATTGCAGTCGTTGATCAAAAGGCTTTGGCGCCTCCGCATTGAGGGTGGTTCTAGCAAGCTCCAGAACAGCGAAAAGGCTCAATAGACCCGTGCATCCACTGCTACAATTAACAGCCCTGGCATTTTTCGTGCTATCTCGATCCAATTCCGGATGGCTGATGGCTCCATAACACTCATGAAGTAACTCTGAAACGCTATGAAAACTATGAAAACCAGTCACATAAACTCACCATAACACTTCATACCTAGGCCGCGATTGCCCGGTGCACTCAGCAAGGGCCTGCGTTCCAACCCAGTTTCCGAGAGTTGACGTTCGTGACGGTACGATCCTGTGGACATCCAAGGTTTCTGCGTTCCCTGTTGCCTTCGGGTGCTTGGCGTACCTGAAGGCCCGTTGTTGTCGAATTCCCGGGGTCAAAACTTACCTTTGGTTAGTAGGGAATGGAAGAATGGTAGTCATAGTAGTTATAATTGTACCTCATTCCGCCATTCCCTACTAACCAAAGGTAAGAAAAGCATGTTATTGGAGACTGTCTACTCGCTTACAAAGCTCCGGGGGGTAGGGTCCAGGAGAAGAGCCCTCGATGGTTTAGGGTTTAGGGGTTTAGGGTTGTGCTATACTCACTATACTCAATACCTGCACCCTCACCTCCACGAGCTTCAAATGAACCGCTGTGTAGGCTTTGGGGCGTGCAGTGCTGTGCATGCAGGTCTTGGAGGCTCAGGCTTTCCAGTAGAATAGGATATACCTTAGCCCCAAAACACCTATATCCGGCTCCTTTAAAGGGATCCTTCAAAGGAGCCTTTAAAAGGGATCCTTCATAAGGACGCAATCAGCCTCAGGTTTGAATAAACCCCAAAGCCCCCAAGAGTACAAAAGGCTAGTACTCCAGGTCCAGGTACCCATGGGCCCCATAGTAGTTCCAGTCGGGGATTACCTTATGGGATTCTAAATATGAACCCCAAAAAAGAACTACTTTGGGGCCTATGGGTAGACCCTTGACTGGTTTGGGAGGCTTTAAAAACTCTCTGCAGTTCCAGGAATCGGGGTACATCGTCATGCAAACACCACCGCTGCCAAAGCAAAGCCCACCACTACTGGTTGCCACTTCTTCTCTACCCTAAACCCTAAACCCTAAACCCCTAAACCCCAAACCCTAGACCCTAAACTCTAGTTTGCCAGCCCCCTGCCCCCTCCTCGATGTCGACGCCCACGCTCGAGCCAGCTGGCACTTTGATGGTCAACGTCGAGTACATCACGTTGCTGAAGAACTGGAGCGAGCAGAGGTACTGTCAGGGGTATTGTAAACGGGTAATGTAGGGTCCTTAAATAATTGGAATAGGGTTCTGGGGCCCACTATGCTATAATTATACTACGGAACCCCCAACACAGTATTGTTAACTATTGGGGGCCCCTATAGTACTTCAAGCTCTCAGAGATGGTTCATGAATTGGCCATCATTCTGGACAAGCTCTCCTAGTAGGTAGATGTACTCAATGGTTGACCTTCACCGAACCGAAACATGCTTCTGGCGAACGACCGACTGGCGTCCGTGAATAAACGGGTACTCCAGAAAGTCAAAAGCGGGGTTACTATACCCATGGCCCGAAAGTAGTTCCTTTTTGGGATTACCTAATAGATTTCTATATTTGGACCCCCAAAAGGGACTACTTTGGGGCCTTAGGGTAAGGGCCAAGACAAGAACAGACTCGTCGTTGAAGAGTTGATGTCCGAGTTCCTCTATCCGGGCTTCAGGTGCCAATCGAAACTCCTGTGGCCTTGGGCGTCCAGGGTTCATAAGGGTTTAGGGTTTATGAGGGTTTAAGGTTGATGAGGGTTTAAGGTTTAGTAGGGTTTATGAGACTCAGACTTCTGCATTTCGAGCCTTCGGGTGTGGACTTGGGGGTGTGGTGTCTCAAGTTGGGAATGACGGACAAGACATCCAAGCCGGAAACAGGCTCGATTCCTCGTTCCCAAACGACCGTATGGTTCCTCTTCCTGCCCCCCTAAACCGTGAACTGCCACACCCTTAACTTGAACCCAGTCTCAACATCCCAATGGAAGCACTAAGCACAGCCCCTCAAGCACCCTCAAGCCTCCAAAAGCCCTCAAACCCAAAGCCCTAAACTGACCCCTCAACGTCTAGGTCCCTTTCAGGAACCTGTTAAGGAACACTAGCACCGATCGTAAGCCAAAGACCCAGACCCCTGCCACCCTGCCTCTAGGGCTGCCTTCGCACCCTCAGGGCCCTGCGCGGCGAGGTCAGGCCACTTCTCCTGCAGGTGTTGTATGGGCTTATATGGTTATTGTTCAAACATGGACCTACAAGGGCTCTATCAAGGATCTGTGAGGTTCTAGAACCGTTTGTTGGGGTTGTTCTTCAGAGCGTAAACCGTTTCAACCCTTCTGCCTCAAGAGCAGCGAGGGGAATCTAGAATAAAATAACGGCCTGAAGTCTTAGCAAGGACGCTTCGTAGAATCGACTTGTTCTGGTTGTTTTTATTACTATGGCTAGTACGAATCGTAGCATGGTTATTCTGAGTTTGGTGATCATTGAGACTAGTATGAGTGTAATGATTGAGGTATATTGCTGGATTCTGGAGTTGGTTGGCAGCTCAAGGACGAAACAAGGGAGCGCCCCGCCGGTGAGCTTCTCAACAGCCTGATTCGGGTTTATGGTTTGGGGTTTCGGGCCAACGATGTGCAAGGATTGACGGTCAAGGGAACATCCTCAAATAAGAGGAGGTAACAGTGTGCCTGTGGAGCCCAAACTCTGAGACATCCGAAAAGCCTAAGCCTGAAACCCATATGTACTCCATCTCTAAGGCCGTTAGCCAGTATAGTAATCCTTACTGCAACCCCTACAAGTCTACAAGTCAGCCCAGATAGTAAAGCCAAAAAGAACCCTCACAGCCTCAAGCCTAAACCAATTCCCCCTGAACCCTAAACCCTATTCCCTAAACCCTAATCCCTACTACTGGCCGTGCCTGGAGCTTCTTCACCTGGGTGGCGGCGACGACAATGTTATCGTGCTCCTGGCGTTCCGGACTTGGACTTGGGCGAATGATGTTCAGGGATTCTGGGATCTGAAACTAAGGGTTTGGGCGTTTTGTGGTAACCGCAAACCGAAGGTTTTAGGGTTTGGGTTTTGGGTTTAGGGTTTAGGAATTTAGGGTTTAAGGTTGCTCGGAGTGGTGGGTCTGGACTCTCCCGAGACATTGGGATGCTGCGCACCCCACAAGAAGTTGAAGATTTCGAACTCGTGTCTGCGCTCCCCAACACCTATACAGCCTCGCGGATCCTTCGAACCCGTATCATTTTGATCGTTATGCAAAAAGCCGTTGGTCATTTCTGAACCGTAAAAACAAGCATTCTTTTGCTAACTTTCGACCCCCCGCTACCCCCCCCCCGGCCGCACCATATTATTGCAGAGAACCCCTTCTTGGATCGCTCCTTCCCTGATGCGACGGCCCTTGCCGCGCCACCGGGGAGCAGGCCAACTGTAACTCCAACCTGCGCCGGGGTCGAAGGCGTCGAGGCTTTGGATTGGGTTCCGTGCCACATTGTGGTTTCTGTCGGGCTTCGACAGGGTTCGAAGTCTTTTAGAAGGTTCTGCACCGGGGGTTGTAGAAAGGCTCTCTAAAGGGGTCGTGTCACAGGATCTAAACGTTGGCTGTATATGGCTCTTCACGCTTCAAGGCCTGAGGTTTTCACATGAGGCTTTCACAATTGGAGCATTCCTTCGTTGTATCGTAGATACTATAGCTAGGCTTTTTGATAAGAGGAATGGACTATAACGACAAACCATGAATATCCCGATCCTGCTTTTAGTGTGTAAGCGGAGTTTATGAAGGCCTCAATAAAGGGAGGGTATAGTTATTAGGATTCGAATTCTTCTCGTCTAATTAACAGTCGCCGGTATGTTTTCAGCACGTGCTGTTGCTGCTCTCTATCCTACGTACATGTTCGTACCCAACCATCCTTGAGGGCTATTCCCTAAACCTTAAATCTAAACTCTATACCCTAAACCCTAAATCTAAACTCTATAGCCCTACCAATTAAACCCTGCACCATTCTACGTTCTCCTGGCTTGAAGAAGCTTGCAGGGAAACTGACTGCAGATTCGAGGAAGACGGTCACCCAGCTGCTAAGCCCGCACGGCTTGATAGATTGAGAAAGGTTTAGCTGAACCAGGTTTAAGCTTAGCAGCTTGGGATTAGGTAGTTTGGATATTGCATAACACCACGAAGACGTACTCACTCGGAATCGTGCGAGACTGCTCACAGCGCTTTTCTCCTCGAGCTTGCAAGATTCTGTAAAGGGCCGCGGCTGCAGATGATGAGTAAGCATAACAGCCATAGCAGCAGACCCAACGACAACGGTAAGAACAAAAGAGACTGCCAGAGACAGCAAGAGCAACAACAACACAATCAGTATTGCAGCACCAGCATTACCGGGAAGTATAGTCGCTGTCCGATGTTCCCAGTACAACTCGTAGGTCCACGGTCGAATAGCTCCCTGTGGAAAACGCTGCGCCGAGCCCTTCGCCAGCAGTCTGGCGCAGCACACGCAGTTGGAAACCGTCGCCGGGGTGGTACATCTCGAGGGCTGTGACCAGGTCATCCATTCCTCGAAGTTTCTGGTGTAGGTTTGAAATAAGGGTTGTGGGATTTAGGTGCGGTATCGGTATAAGGGCTAAGGTTGTCCAAGCTCGCAACATTGGGAGTTCGGCATTGTCGGCCTGTGTCTGCCCGTCGTTTCTGCTCCCGTGAATCTGTCTGCCCGTCTATGCTATACATATTTACATTTTACATTCTCAAACCACTACTGTAAGCTGTCTATCTAGCGATCCATACGGTTGATGATATACATCCTGCATTACCCATAATAAGGAATATACCATAATTCCCGTAGTTCAGGGTCCTTAAGGTAATGCAGGATTTATATCATCAACCGTAGCACTCGTTACTCTGCGAGGTCTCTGGACTGCAGACACCGCTGGCTTTTTGTCCTAAACCTACGTCATAGGAGCCTAAGCCCTAAACCCTCAACCCCTAAACCCCAAACCCCTAAATCCCTGAACCCTAGCCCCTAAACCGCAATTAGCATGGAGCCTTAGGGGTGCCCAGGTTCCTTCTTCGGACCTGATTTCAAGAATCCAACCCCACCCCGCACCTGCCCCGCAGCACCCTTATCAAAGTTCATAACTCCGAGGATAAGAGTATCCATAATAATCCTATCATAACAATGAATCACCGTCGCAGTCATAATAACAATAATAGGCGTGAGTGGCACCAATGGAAATACTCACAATAGCCGCAACCAGAACAATAACGCACCCGAGTCTCGGCGGATGGCCACGTCCCCTTGAAAGATGATGATGTCGCCTGCCTTTAAGCCCGCTTTGCGGGCAGGCCCGGGAAGCACTTCCTGCAGTTAAAGGTGCAGGGATGAGTATCCGTGCAAGGGCGTCGGGAAGCTTAGGGATTAAACAATTTTAGGAAGGCCCCGTATAAAGATTTCGAGCTTGGGATCGAGGGTTGCACTGCATATCTACGTATACTGACATTGATGTATGTGCCGAGTACATGTCGACTTCAACCGAATCAGCTCGAGTGCTAATGCGCTCGTCATTCTCCTCTACTGGTTTATGTGGCAGGCAGTAAGGCATCGTGAAGGCACCAGCTTGTTCGGAGATATTGCCGGCTCGCCTCGTACCAGGACATGGCCAAGTGAATAACATAGGGGCCTTAATGATTAGAATAGGGGTTTGGAGCCAATACTATTGGTAACTTTTTAGGCCCCTATACTGCTTCTGGTTTATTGTACCTAGGTTCCAAGCCAACAGCAGACCCCCCCCCCCCCCCCCCCCCCAAAAAAAAAAAAAACTCAACCTTAAACCTAATTTCGAAACCCTGAGCTCTAAACCCCAGTTACGAAACCCCAAACCCAAACCCCTTATAAAACAAAAAAAGCCCTAACCCCTTCGGGTCAGGTTCGGCCTTCAGGGGTTCCTAGGGCTCACTGCTACACTCGACTATAGGGCCCTTAACAATCACCAATACTATTTTGGGGTTCCTAGTTATTATAGTTACAGCACAGAACCCTATTCTGATTGTTAAGGCCCCTACCCCTTAGGCGGAAGCAGAAGCAATGCTGTTTGGAGATCCCCATGAAGGAAACCACAAGTCAAAAAGGAAGATACCAGAGTAGAGCGGCATATTGCTTACTCCGGCCCACTCGAAAACATGCTAGTCTACTATGGTAGGTCTAATGTATTTTGGTCTGTTCTAGTAATTTATGTGTTTGTATATCTGGGTTGGCCTTTAAACACCCTGATAAAGAAATATATATATATATACATATATATATGTATGTATGTATATATATATATATAGGGCCACCTATAAACCCAAAGAATGAAAATAACAAATGTCCCAAAATCCAACCTAGATATTTACAGCAGCCCTCCTGCACGACGACGCCGTGGGCACCCAGGCGCTCGGCGAAACCATCGGGTTCCAGGTAGATTCCAAGAGCCGGCCGACTGACATGGCCGTTATCCTTGGGCTTTAGGGCTTTATAGTAGAAGCCAGAAAGTTGGAACATGACTTTAGGAGGATTAGTGCTAGGATCTCTTATACTTTACCTTAAGGGCATGAGGGCAATGATGTTCCAACTTTCTGGCTTCTGCTGTAGGGTTTAGGGCTTTAGGGGGCTTTAGGGTCGAGGTCTTCGGGTCCTTAGGGTTTTTTTGACGGTGTTCTAAGGGTTCAAAGCCTGGGCTTTAGAGGTTTAGGGTTGAGGGTGTAAAGCTTCGGGCTGTAGGGTTTTGTCCTAGGTTCGGAGGGATTGAGGGTCTAGAAACACTTCTTCCGTTTAGGACCCTAAGATTGGGCTTTTCGGGCTTGAAGGGTTCAGGGTACTGGCTATTCGGGTCCTTCTTTGCTTGGGAGGCTGGGCATCCTCAACTGCCCCTAAAGCAACTTCGACCCTGAACCTTTCAAGCTCCGCAGGCTCGCCTCTAAACCCTAAACCGTTCCTAAACCATAAACCCCTACACCGTAAACTCAAAACTCCACACCCTCAACCCCAAACCCAAAACCCCAATCCCTTGCCCCTGAATCATAAGGATCCTTATATAACGGGGAAGTGGGGGGAGGGGGGTTCCTTAAATAGGCCTTATGAAGTCCTTATTATAGGTATTAAGGCCCCCTACCCCCCTCCCAATCCCCTACCCCCCCTCAGGGTCCTTATGATGTACCAATTGAATCTCGACACCCCAACCTTCTTCAGGGAAGCTTCTGGGATGTGTCTTTATCTTGTGAGAAGGTTAAGGATTTAGGGCTCAGAGTTCAGGTGTAGGGCCCAGGCCTTCAGATGTGTCTGGGTTTAGGGGTGAGCGGCTTGCGGGTTTAGGAGTTGAGAGACTTCAACGACCAGGTTTTTCGGGGGTTGGAAGGCTTCGGGTTTTAGAGGTCTCCGGTTTAGGGCCAATGCCCCTATGAGACCCTTGCAACCCTTTTCCAGAATCCTACACCTAAAGCTCAGACAAGAAATCCTAAACGCCCAACCCGACGCCCGACACTCTGAATCCCATGCCACTAAAGCCTTGCCTGATCTGCACAAACCCTGCATAAACGCACCTCAAGCCCTAAACACCCAAAGCGCAAGTTCAGGGAAGCTGCAAGGATGCTTTGGACGTATTTCCGCAAGCTATCAGCCGGGATGGCTTGGCTGATGCGAGACTCCTCCAGCGGCCCTATCGCCTCAGTGGGGTGTTGGGGCATAGGGCGTCCCGTCCCCTCAACCCTAAGCTCTAAACCGGTTCCGGTTGGGGTTTGCAAACTTGTCTTTAGGGCTTAGGGCTGATGAGGCCTCAGCACTTCTGGATCTGTTGCATTCCTAAACCGAAAACCTTTCCGTATGAGTTTATACTCCATATGGGTCTGCTACTAGTTGTGTAGTGACTATGGTGTTTACTCTTTCAGCATTTTAGGACCCCAAGCTTTGGGAAAAGGGTTTGGGTGTACAACAGCTGATATAGGGGCCTGAACCCCCTGCTACGGATTTGAAGTGTGCAGCGTCGCAAAAACAAAAGACGGACAATGGGATTCTTCTAATGTAGGGGCCCAGATAATTAGCTATCTGGTTTGGGGCTTCCTTACTATGCTTATAGTACAGTGGCCCCAAAACACTATTCTAATTATTCAGGCCCCTATATTACCCCCAATCAGGAGAAGTCTGAGAGCGAAGTGCAGCCCCACACCCCAAACACACATGCGCACACACAATCACGAGCATCATCATCCTCATCCTCATGCACATCCTCGTCCTGATCATGATCGTGATGCTCATCCCCATCATCCGCCTCATCATCATCGGCATCGTCATCATCATCATCTTCCTCTGCATCATCATCGCCATCATCACCCTCAGCAACGGTGTCCCTCTGCATCATCATTTTCATCATCACTACCATCATCGCCATCGCGATGCCGGCGAACAGTTCGAACCTGATTCCAAAACCCCTAACCCCTCTGTGGAAAGTAGCAAAGCCCCTAGCCCTAGCCTAACCCGTTGTGGAACACCTGGTACAAGCCCGTTGAGAAGCTATAAAATCCGGCTGGCCATTCCGATCACCTGACCGCGGCTGTTCAGCAAAGGCCCTCCCCGGTTCGAGGCTTGGATCACCGCATCGGTCTGAATGCTGCTCTGGACCTAACAAGGAGCTTAGGAGGGCTTTATAGGCATCGTACAAGACCTAACTAACAAGTAGGAGGGTTTTTTTAGGCATCGTACAAGGGCCGTTAAGGCCAGGGAACAACAAAAGGGCTTTTACTCCAGCAGGGTTATATGCGTTCTTCTGACAGGCCCTTACACTACATCCCAAATAACACGCACGGGCGAACCTGTGAGCCCAAAATCCTAGGATTTACGGATGAAAAGTCATGGCTTTGGAGTTCCAGGTTATATGGGCGATAGGGTTTTGGATGCGCGGGACCTCTTGCGGTTGAGAGTTGTTTAGAGTTTGGGACTTCTGGGGTTTCGTGTTTAATGATTAGGGCAGACACCCAAAAGCCCGAAACCTTGGGATGGGTTTTGGTGGAAGCGGATTCAGACGTGATGGCTCTAGAGGCCTAAGTTAGTCTGCGGGCTCAACGGCGCTTTAATGATTGTACACAACAACAGGCCAAATAGTGTTCCCTGCAATCTTCGGAGGAACAATTGACATCTGTCATATGCCAGCGGTGTCGTACAACATGGAGATTGACACCGCAAAGCCTGATTTCAAGGGTGGTTAAAGTGTTGTCCACGATTGAAGTTGTTGGTCTTTTGCCCGTCTGGGTTGTGGCATCTTCCGGGTTCTTGATAAAGCACCTATGTTAACGACCACAACAATCCAGTAATGACTGAATGCAAGGCTTTCGCGGAGGAAACCCCTGTTGCGGCAATTTAAAAAATATCTTGGCACCCTCGGATCCTCAGAGCACAAAATTTAAAACTCTAAAACAAAGCCCTCGCCCAGCCAGTGAACCTTGGGTTCAGTTTCTTCGTCTTTCTTGGGCTGCGGTCAAGCTTCTACCGCGCAGAGGAACATTGGAAAAAGGAACCGGCTTCGGCAGAGGTGTTGTGAGTATTGTGTTGGCATGTGTAAACAACGGCATGCCCGTTCCACCGCGGACTATCTGCGGCAGCACATGGGCATATGCACTATGGATATCAATGACCCGGACCATCTAGATGATTTGCGGGAGGTGAATCGACTCTGGATCTAGCCGTTTCGACCAGTGTCGTCGCTGAAGTTGCCATTATCCGAACAGATTCCGGCCAGGTCGAGCCTTTCCTGGGAAATCTACTGGATTGCGACCCTTGTTCAACACGAGAGTAGCACTTCTGTAAATGCTTGTACGAGGCAGATCTCTTAAGTCTAAGTCGAGACGGGCGTAGATGTAGCATCGCGCGAAGCAAACAAACACAAATTTCAGATTGCCGTATTGGACGCAAATTCATGATCGAATAGCTTCGGTGATCGCGGAAGCAAGTGCTGTGCAAATGCGTCCCCAAATCCACTGCGTCGTCTCCAACACCCTTAGTGGGAGGATGTCGAGGCCTCAGTTCCTCCATTCGAAAGAAACGAACTGACGAAATGATGTTCATCCCTCGACCGCGTCCACGCTGGGGCAAGCTCTCAGAGCCTCACAAAAGGCGCGAAAGTCGCCAGAAGCAGACGATAACTTCTCCAAGCAACCCGGCAACTACCCCAAGATTAATTTCAAGTCGGTCGATCGCTTACTAGAGCTCATCCGTACTCCTTAAGGCCGTTACTTAGTTCACACTTCACTGCTTACGGAAAACAGACCAGTGTGTACATGTATGTACCAGTAGTTGTCGAAGCTTCCATACTTGCAGCAAAGGAGTCGCACGGGCAGATTCAGACATGATGCCGAAGCCTGAATCACTACGAATAGCATCCTGTGGGGTGTCTAGCGTGCAGCTATAGTATCCAGCCATTAGGGTTTAGGGGTTAGGGTTTAGGGAACCCTAAACCCTAAACCCTAAAGAGTCTAGGGTTCCAACCGCCGAGGCCCCTCTGCTCCCTGAACGTCAAGTTACTCGAAATCGCTTGGCCCGTCTCAGCCAAGCGCATCACAGCTCCAACCCGTGCGCATGCTGTGGTTTCCGTTGCACACCACCCCGAATCTGCAATTCTTGCCTCAGACTGAAGAAATCCAAACTCTGAACCCTACCTCGACCCAAACATCATGAAGAGTAATGGCCCCCCTACCGTAAACATTGAATATAAAATCTTAACGGCCGCACTGATCCTGGCTCTAAACCTCCAAGCCCTAAAGCAATAAGCACTAAAGCCGTCAGACCACAAAACCCTAGACCCTAAACCCCACAACGAACCCCAAAACCCTAAGCCCCTGCTTCTCCAGCTAGTGGCTGGGCGGTCGGAATTCAACACCAAGGGTTGTCCGAGGCCATAAACCACACCACGGGAAACCTCGGCGACAGTTTGCTAAGCTTATAAGGCTTTGCCAGAGCGTTTCAGAAGAGGTCTACAGGGATTTATGGGGGCAAAGCAAATTGTTTACGGGCCGGAAAAAGGAACAAGGTTTTGGGGTATTGCGGACGCAGCGGAGCCTGTGGATCAAGTGAAACGAGAATAACCGTTACGCTCAGAAGACCATTCCACTGGATGTGGACTCTACAGTTTGTATGTTGCAGCACAGTCTAAGTGTAACTGGACGGTGTGCGGAGGCTAAGATTTCGGGGTATGCTGTAGTACCAGTGACAAATGGACAAAGGAGGAAACCTCGACTTTTTGCAACTTGTTAAGGGGCTTGAAGTTTGGAAGGCTCGAAGGCTTGAGTTCAGGCTTTCCGTCTTAGTGTCTCAGTCTTTCAAGCTGTAGGAACTGACGGATGAGCAATTGTTTAGACGGGACTTCTGCTGGCTGCTGAACTTTGTACGACTTTATCACAAAAGGTCGTTGTCGGGATTAAGGCTTTGTCGTTCTGCGGGGATGTAGCTTTGAACACTTCAGCGCCGTTGTGTTTATGTCGGGACTTTGGGGGAAGGGGTTGGAGTATGGGGAAGATGCTGCCCGTTAGATTACATTTTGTATGGCTGTATATCAGTATTTAGTCTTATATGTACATGTGTGTTATATATGTGGATACTAATTTCCTACTATGCATATGTACATGCTGCCTGGCTTGGTCTTCTCTAGCTCGCTTCCGTGTGCAAGACTTGGATGCACAGGCCTCGATTCGGATGCTGGGGCGAGTAGGATAGTAGTAGTAGTAGTAGTAGTAGTAGTAGTAGTAGTAGTAGTAGTAGTAGTAGTAGTAGTAGTAGTAGTAGTAGTAGTAGTAGTGGTAGTGGTAGTAGTAGTAGTAGTAGTAGTAGTGGTAGTAGTGGTAGTAGTAGTTTTAGCAGCAGCAGTCGTAGTGCTGCAAAACACTTTGCTCAGATCCTTATCCCAAGCAAGACGCACTCCCAAACAAGATGCCCTAGGCCCGAGCTCCATAACCTGACATCACCAAACCTAGACCCAACCCTAAGCGCTAACACGTACACACCAGACCTACACCCTAAACCTCTACCTAAACCCCCAAATGTAACCCAAACAATGGCCCAAAGAGCCTAGAAGAGGCTATTAGTCTACATAACCCTATAAACCCTAAACCGTGCCTTCGGGGTCCAGGTACACCCTAAACCAAACCTAAACCCACACCTCGGTCCTCTACAGGCTTACACCCTGAATCCTGAAAGCTCCCAACTGCGAACTCAGATGCAACACTGAAAACCCCGATAGGGTTTAGGGTGTTGAAACCCTTGCAGCCATCTTTCGCTGCAAAACCCTAAGCCAGCCTTTACTAGCTTATAAAACCTTTGCAAAGCTCTATACATCCTTTATCTCAAACCAGATCAAATTAAACTGGTCTCTCACCCGATGCAACCCTGTAGGAGCCCTATGAGTCAAGAAACTTACCCTATGCTTCCAATTTGGGCCCTGATCTAACCAGTGATTTTGCGCCTTATCTAGTAGGGATTATCATCATCCCTGGCTCCTTAGCTCCCCCAATATCAATGGTTAGTTATAAACAAACAGCGCCAAAGACCCAGGCAAGTGGCACTCATGTCTAGAGCTGGTTTGCGGCCAACGACTGTCACATCCTGGAAGGGTGCTGCGCACTTTCTTAGGCTTTTACACAGACTTGAACTTTGCAGTTACAGGATGCTGCAAAGGCTTTTCTATATGGTTTCGAAAGGGCTGCATTGAGGCTCTAATTATAGTGCTCTTGAAGTTTAAGGTTTCTTGAGGTTTCGAGCTTGACGTTGTTGGGACGTGTTCTAAGCCTTTCGGTCAAGCCCATGTAGGCTCTGCATGTAACCGAAGCAGGCCTACCATGTTCCGGGAAATGTAGAAGGCAATCGTCGGAAATTCTCTCTAGCAAAAGCTGGTATACCAAGCCTTTAATGGGTAAAAAACTCACGTAGGGTTAGGAGAGTTCGGGATGAGCTGGTCTGCTAGCAGCTCATGATGCCTCAGACTGCGAAATCCCTAAACCTTAAACCCCATATACCCCCTAAACCCTAAACCTTAACCCCCTGCTGAATTTACGGCCGCGCCTTCGGACTCAAGCATCACCGGGAAAAAACCTAGAACCCTAGACCCCAAACTCCCAACCCTAAACCGTCCTGTCCCAACTGGAGACTGGAGGATGCACCCAAGGTCAAGCCAGGGGGCCGTTGCCTCGGAGCCTTGCGAGGGCTGTATTGAAAATCAAACTTTTAAGTTAAGTTCTTTTAAAAAAGGAAAAATCAAATTTTTTGGGTTTGGGGTTTAGGGTTTAAGGGTTTAGGGTTTAGGATTCAGGGGTTAAGCTGGCTTTAGGGTTTATTTTATCTTTACCGATGGGTTTTAGGGTTTAGGAGCGGGGCTTAGGGTGTCTGCTTTTTCAAGGGGTGGTTTATAGAGCTTACAATCAGGGTGGCCCCTTTTTCCCCGCTATTCGGCTCCACGATCAATGGGTAGAGAGGGGCCACGGGGCGGCGCAAGGCTACTGGGATGCTTTTGTCGGGGGTTGGGGCGATGTTTGTGTGCTAAAAATCTCTATAAGCCCTTCGTGAGACAATAAGCCGCCAAAACACCCGAGCCAAGCCCCAGACCAGAGGCACTGAACCCGAGATACATATATATATATATATATATATGTCTATGCAAGTGTATGCGTGTATGTACACAGACCTATATCTCTCTCTACATATGTATATATGTATAAAGGTGTATCGTCAATATATATATATATATATATATATATATACACACATGTATGTGTACACCGTAATTGCAAATTCACCACCTAGAACCCAAAATATGATACTATATATATATATATATATATATGTGCCATGGACCTTTATGTATAGTTTGAGTCAGCCTTTGGTCGACTGAATGGGTAAGGCTTCGGCAGTTTGACATGCCGCTGCAACATGTAGTGACATAGTGTTTGGCTTCGTGTGCACCCGAAATGAGCGCCTTGCCGCAATCTAAAGTTGTCCGGGCCACAGGCCACAACATGACATCTTAACTGAAAAATCTTCTTCGATATATGTACAAGTAGAATAAGCCCCTAATCGATTGAATGGACACGGCCTTAGTCAGGCAGCTTGATCGGTGGGCGTTGCCTTTAGTGAAAAGAAGATAAGAGAATGTAGTGTAGAGAGCAAAGCGAAAGGAACGGAGCATGATTCCTTTATTCAAATTCACGACGCCACCGCCCACAACTCACAGCCAGGCACGAATCACATCAGGAGTTAGTTCACTTGGCTTCCTGGCAGTTAAATTATAAAACTATGAAGACAATCAGAGAAGTCAAATCATTTGTAGTTTAAGATAAGGAAACCGAATGAAATCATGCTTTGACTGTAAATGTACGGGGCTTTGTGATGAACGAAATAGTGACCAAGAAAACTAACCACAGATCCACCATCCGAGTTCCAGCCGTGAAACAAGTCCAAGTCAACACAATGAAGTCAGTCTTTTGTTTAGTTTGTTTTAGTTAATGCAAAGAAGTGAAAATAGAAAGTATGCGCGATTAAGACAAAAACAGACAACATAGGAACGACATCACCCTTTACCAACAGTTATTTGTCTATCTATAATCTTTTCCGTCTTGGAGATGTGGTGATTGTGGAATGGAATGAAATGAGAGCGTGTTTGTTGCTCTCTTCAGTTCACGCACCACACATTCTGGAGACTTATATTGTAGGCTTAGATCTCTCTTTAAATGGGATCTTCTAATGATTCTAATGACAATATGACATCGAATCTTCTGACAACTTTTCTCTTGTAGGATCATGCCACGTGGCTGTAATTAAAAGAGCTAGATATAACAGGAAGAAAAGCGTGTTTCCTTACCTTTTATTCACATTAAATTGGGCTCTTTATGAACGAAACAAGGAACCCACAAGATATGAGAATGTTGCGTGTCTCATCTTATTGCAGCAAAGAGAAGCGAATAACGATTGCATGTTCCGTTGATTCAAAAAGATACAACACAATACGAACGGAACCAGAAACCAAGTCATTAATTTCCAAGGTGTCTGACGGTTTGTGTCCTACGATCAAAGCCCAAGTCAACCAACAGAAGTTTTCTGTCCATGAAGAGGCAATTTTGGTTTCATTTGTTTCAATTAAGTAACAGGTAGGTGACAGAAGGACCGCGGTCTTTTTCATTGAACAAAATGTGTTCTTTATTCCCACAAAGCCAAGGTAACGAGTGAAAGGTGGAACAGTAAGAAGGAACGATGTGCCTGCTTAAATGAAACAAAGACAATGAAGCGGAGCAAAAACTTGCTTTATTTCAGTTGAATGCGGCACACGTTTTCATCCTTTGTTTCACCGCACAAGACACACCACAATTAAACCCAACAACAAAATGTCAGCAGGCGATCTCACGGTTTCGTTCATCATTGTTTTGCGTAATTTAAACATAAAGAAGGAACTGATGCATGGTTTATGTCTATTAAGCGAAGCACAAAGAAAACGAAAACATGAGCCGACATGGAGGTGCCATCAGAATCCCTTTATAAGAAATTGGGATTCATGAGCCTATTGTCCCTGGCGAACCACAAATCAAGGGTTAACCGATGATGAGTGAAAGATGAGAAGTGAATGGTGTGCATGGATGAATGACAGAAGGAACGCATGCTTTTCGCTTATTAAAACTAACATCATACATGCACGACTCATGACACAGAAGAATGATCCAGATGAAGCCCTTGTATGCATGGTGCTGGCAAAGCAGGCATTTCCTTGATTTGATTTGTTTTCGCTTTAGTTCAAGAAAGCCCACCAAGTCTCAACAAAGGACACATCACAAGATAGGAAATTTCATGAAGAGATCGAGTTAGATGAAAGAAGTCTTTCACCATTAACATCCTCAATTCCCTGTGATATAACCCTATCATTAGTTTCCTGGTCATTCTGTTCTCGCAAGAAATGACATGAAGGGTGTGAAAGGAACCGTGCGTTCCGTGCGCTTATTCCTCTCCCTTGCATGTCATATCTTGGTCTAACCGTTCATTCTGTTCCTTCTTTCGTTCCTTTCTTGTTCGGGTCAGTACCGTCGAAAGGAATGGAAGCGTGAATGAGCCAAGCACAAAAGGAACGAAAACAGGAACTGAACGGAAACAGCAATCGTAGTTGTAGGAAAGGAAAAAGGATGTAAGCCTAAAATATGTTAGCTTTGATTTCTGCTTATTTACCTTCATTATTTTCACTTTCTACTTTGCCTTTTATGACCTTCATGCTGTCTCCTCTTTGATTACATTACCAGCACATAAAACAGAAAAGGGAAAGATAATTAGAATGAAGAGCCGGGAAGATAATTAGACTGAAGAATCCAATACTTGTTTTTCCTTTGTGCTTTAATATGAAACGAAATGAATGAAGCGTAAGAGACGCACGGCTTGCACTTCGTTTCATAATTGCAGACAACGAAATGAAACAAGAGCCACAAAACCCAGCTTTAAATGAATTAAACCATGCCTTCGTTTCTCTATGTTACCTTCAATTCAATTACATTGGCTCTTTTGGGTTCCGTTCATTCTTCACTCCATTTTATCATAATAAGAGAATAACAAAGTGAGGCGAATGAAGAAACACAAACGAAGTGTATGTTTTGATCATCTCGCTTGGCCTTGCTACGAATGTAATCAGGCACAAGGTTGACCGTGGACTCGCGAGTCATTCTCTGAGTTTAACCGCCAGTCACGGTACATCCAACATTCCGTTTTCCTCACATCTTTTTCCAAGCTCACTGCCAAGCATGGATCCCACAAGCTTTAATTAAACCTAATGCGACAATATGGCAATGAAATGTAAGCGCGCCTTTTGTTGTGTTGGTTTTCATTTGCTCTTTCGGGTTGTGCATTTCATTGTAAAGGGAAAAGTTGCAAGAAAACACCAACAAGACCCAAACTAGCATAATGAAACGAAGCAAAAGGCGCGCATCCTTTACCATTCTGTTCCTTGCATTACACTAGTTTGTCCTTTTGGGGTTCGCTTCGCTCCACATCCTACATTGACTGGCTTTCCTGTAATCAAAGGTGGTGTAGTTTAAAGTGAACGAAGACAATGTAGCATAAGAGAAAGCGTGCTTCGTTCATCGTGAAACGCACCACGGGGTGAACGAGACAAACGAATCAAACTCTCATGTACTGAAACAGAGGAAAACGTGCGTTCCTTACATTCTCTTCATTTCGTTAGTTTAGCATGGGTATTTTGGTTCCCTTCACTTCCCACCTTACACTAAAATGGGTATTTTGGTTCCCTTCACTTCCCACCTTACACTAAAATGAGTTTATAATGCTGGAAGTACAACTGGAATCTAATGGCATCTTTATAGGTAATCTATAGTGGTATCTTCTAAGTTTATATGAATGAAGACAGACGCAAAAGAGCCAGATTTAGTCAATGAAAGATCAACTCGCGCATGCTTACTTTTTGTAATCAGGGCTTTTGCAGTCAACGGTCCAATTCCTGGCGTGTTACTCGTTGAGACCGTGTTTCGTTCATGCGTTCGTTCACTTGTTTCTCCCTGACACTTCGTTCCTTGAAAATCAGGAACGAACTCATTCACTTCATCTCACCCTTCACTCAGAATTGTTTCCCTGTTGTTTCATGCGCTAAACGATAATGAGGTGAATGCAAAAGAGCGAACGCACGCTTTCTGGAGATCTGGAACTCGTTTCAAAACCTCTGTGAGTTTGGTCTCTGGGAATCTGGAATTCTTTTTAAATTTTTTAAATTTTTAGAATTTTTGAAATTTTTAAAATTTTGAAAAATTTGGCCTTTGGGGGTCTGGAATTCTTTTTAAATTTTTTAAATTTTTAAAATTTTTGAAATTTTTAAAATTTTTAAAAATTTGGCCTTTGGGGGTCTGGAATTCTTTTTAAATTTTTAAAATTTTTAAAATTTTTAAAATTTTTGAAATTTTTAAAATTTTTAAAAATTTGGCCTTTGGGGGTCTGGAATTCTTTTTAAATTTTTAAAATTTTTAAAATTTTTGAAATTTTTAAAATTTTTAAAAATTTGGCCTTTGGGGGTCTGGAATTCTTTTTAAATTTTTAAAATTTTTAAAATTTTTAAAATTTTTGAAATTTTTAAAATTTTTAAAAATTTGGCCTTTGGGGGTCTGGAATTCTTTTTAAATTTTTAAATTTTTAAAATTTTTGAAATTTTTAAAATTTTTAAAAATTTGGCCTTTGGGGGTCTGGAATTCTTTTTAAATTTTAAAATTTTTAAAATTTTTAAATTTTTGAAAAATTTGGCCTTTGGGGGTCTGGAATTCTTTTTAAATTTTTAAAATTTTTAAAATTTTTGAAAATTTTGCAATTTTTAAAAATTTGGCCTTTGGGGGTCTGGAATTCTTTTTAAATTTTTAAAACTTTTAAAATTTTTAAAATTTTTGAAATTTTTAAAATTTTAAAAATTTAAAAAGAATTCCAGACCCCCAAAGGCCAAATTTTTAAAAATTTTAAAAATTTCAAAAATTTTAAAAATTTTAACAATTTAAAAAGAATTCCAGACCCCCAAAGGCCAAATTTTTAAAAATTTTAAAAATTTCAAAAATTTTAAAAATTTTAAAAATTTTAAAAGTTTAAAAAGAATTCCAGACCCCCAAAGGCCAAACTTTTAAAAATTTTAAAAATTTCAAAAATTTTAAAAATTTTAAAAATTTAAAAAGAATTCCAGACCCCCAAAGGCCAAATTTTTAAAAATTTTAAAAATTTCAAAAATTTTAAAAATTTTAAAAATTTAAAAAGAATTCCAGACCCCCAAAGGCCAAACTTTTAAAAATTTTAAAAATTTCAAAAATTTTAAAAATTTTAAAAATTTAAAAAGAATTCCAGACCCCCAAAGGCCAAATTTTTAAAAATTTTAAAAATTTCAAAAATTTTAAAAATTTTAAAAATTTTAAAAATTTTAAAAAGAATTCCAGACCCCCAAAGGCCAAATTTTTAAAAATTTTAAAAATTTCAAAAGTTTCAACAATTTTAAAAATTTAAAAAGAATTCCAGACCCCCAGAGACCAAACTCACACTGCCCACAGAGCCTGCCCTTTAACTGCTCATACTAGAAGAAGCAGTTACTCAAATAGCGCAGAGAGGTCCTACGCACATATATATATATATATATACACACACACCTCCACCAAAAGAACACACGAAACACACACAAAAAACAAAAAAATCACAAAAACAAAGAAGACTCGCTATGACCATCCCAGGAGCGTCTGCCGAGCGTTTGGGCCAGAGGATCTCCAAAACAGCCAAGTCGCTTCCGGGATCCTCTGCAAGAATGGAGGCTACGGGCTTTCAGGGTTTGGGGTTCAGGATTTAGGGTTGAGGGTATGGGCTTTAGGGTTTAGGGTTCAGGGTTTAGGGTGGGGTTTTAGGGTTTAGGGCGGGGTTTTAAGGTTTAGGGTTTGAGGCTATCTAGGAGCTCTTTATTCCGGGTATGAAGGTTTCAGGAATGAGGCTTCGGGCGCGGGACTTGGGGTTTCAAATTTGGAAATCCGGTTCAGGGCCACACGGTCCCAGCCATTTAAGACGAACAAAAGTCGAAGACTGGCCGACACCTTAAAAACCTGGACGCCTTGATCATTACCAATCTTGCCTTTGGTTAGTAGGGAATGGAAGAATGGTAGTAATAGTATTATAATTGTACCCCATCCCTCCATTCCCTACTAACCAACGGTAAGCAATACTATTCCTTCGGGTCCCGCATGATCCCGGAGGCGCCAAGTCCAAGAATGGCACCTGCCTTGGGTCTAGAAGTCTACAACCAGTACCTATTTTGAGGCGTTTGCAGTCTCAGGGTATCTCTGTGCCTTCATAACCTACTACGCCCCATTCAGTATAAATTGCTACTAGAATGACTAGTACTGTTAACAGCATGTGTCACAAGCGCTGTTAGTGTACTTTTAAGTCTCTTTGTAATGGCGGTAACAGAAGGAGTAATAGTAGCAGCAACTGCAGTGAGAATAACTGAGTAGCAGTATCCTCGCAGCACCAACCACTATAACGCCCAAACAGCAGCAAGTGTCCGTTCCAACGACACGCGCGGGGAGCTCAGTACGGTCCTCAAAGATCACCTGCCGGGACGTTTCAGGACGTAGGGGGGGGGTTCTGAAAGAGTGCTTGTCCATGTATCTCCATCTGTTGATTGGGGTTGACGGTTTGAGGTTCGGAGGTTTTGGGGCGTGGGGTTTAGAGTTGCTTCTTGGACTGCTTCCGGGCATTAGAGATGGAACTTCCGGCAAGCTTCTTTCGATTCGGGCAAGGTATAGGGCCGTGCTCTGAACTCTAAACTATACTGAACTTAGAACCCTGGCAAAAATTACAATTTTAGCTGTGTGTTAGGGATCATCATAACCAAAAATTTAACAATATTTCTAAGCATCCCTAAGTTGTAGGGTACAGGGCATCGCGTGGAAGGCCGTAGAGAGACGTCAGTCAGCTTTTGGCACTGCTTTACTGAATCGTGCCCGCCTGCTCCTCCCAGAAAGTTGCCGTTGCGTTTATGGTTCAGGGTTCCAGTTCCAGGGATCAGGGTCAGGGTCAGGGCTTAGGGATTCGGGTGACTGTAGGGTGGATAAATGCTATCGTATTGCAGAGCCGGCAGATCTGTCGATGATACAAGGCTGTTGACGATGGATGAGCGATTCGCACACTCCTCAAGTTCATCAGCGCTCTAATGCTGGCAATGTCGCAAGAAGCGGATGTTGCCTAGCAGTTAGATCGGGTACAAGTAAACCCTAGACAAGCAGCCCGAATCCCAGATCCAGCTCTCGTGTCCGAACACTGCCGAGCACGCTTTGAAGCTCAGCTTACAAAGCGGGCTGCTCTTGCGGAGCAGAAATCCCTGTTCGCAGCCCTGACTCATAATGAACATACGCTACAATGAAACGATCCTGGTGTATCGCATCTCACCCGACAGCTTCCGAACTCTGCACATCCCCCTCCGGAAGCTCAAGAGTGCTGCGTATGAAGCCGCACCCCTGAAACCCGGAGCCCTAAATGCACCCTAGGCAGAAACTGCTAAAACCCTACATTCACCCTAAGTGCAGAAGCTGCGGCCGGAATACATCTCTTACGCACTCAAAGAGAAGTGGCAAAATCCTTGTGTGTAAAATCAACATTAACCCCAAATAACCTACCTCTTCAAGGACCTATATAAGGAAACCATAATAAGGAACCCGAAGAGATTCATTAATTTGCAAATATATTCTAACTCATATAGTTCGTATATTATGATTCTATTAATTCGAAAGCTTGATATTCTGAGGTAGGTTATTCAGGGTTAAGGCAGACCATGTCTCAATCGCCTCTTGTCTGGAGAGCCCACCTTGGGTACGGCCCCCATACAGTAACAGTCTATAATAGGGCTACCATTAAGGGCCGTATATACCTATATTATGAATATTATCCAACTGTTACTGAGTGGGGGCAGTACCCAAAGCCCCCCTTTCAGCAGCGTTAAGAAGAATCCTCCCAGAAACCCTTCGGCGCATCGGAACAAAACAGGAAATAGCAATGACAATAACAGTAGCTCTTAATGTTGGTATTCTGGTTGCTACTTGCATACTTGCATGACCAATGCATGACCACGGTAGTACATGATAAGAACGACACAATTTCTATGGCAATCCTAGCCGGAGGCCCACCCGAAGGGATCCCCGTTGGGCGAGGTCGATGTTGCTGAGGCTTGTGACCACATGGCGGCGATCAAACCTCAGATTTAGGGGTTGGTGTTTTTGGTTTCGCGTTGGTTTAGGAAGTTTTGGGTCACAAGATTTAGGGCTTTGGGTTTAGTGTTTGGGTTAGGGTTTATGGGCATATTCAGGAAGTAGACAGCTTAGGTTCTACGGTTTAGGGACGTCTTGAGAAAGTGGACAGCGTGGGGTCCATGTCAAGGCTTTGGCGTTAAAGACTTAAGTCGATGTTGCCCCAAAGTCAAACATCCTAATAGCTGCTAACCAGAAGCTTCCCGCACACCCTTAATCCCGAACCCCAAAAAGCAAAATCCCACAACAGCGCCCTAAATCCCAAACCAGAGAAGACTTCCAGTGACATCTAATCTAACCCAGAGCCCTCGGCAGCAAAAGAAAGGACGAGGGGCATCCAGGCGGTTCCCCCTGGGCTTGCGCCACCTTCGGGCACCTCCTTCGGCATCCACGGGGTGGGCTTCCCGGTCACATAGACAACGCTCGGCGAGGTATCGGCCAGCATCTGCAGTCGCGCTTCCTGTCGACTCAGGAGCAGAAAGCCACAGAAATAGAAGGTTAAACTTTCCGATTCCTTCTAAACCATAAGAACCCAAAAAGTTTAAAGGTTAGGTATTGGGGATCTAAGACCAGGGAGCAGCAGCCCTAGCCCGGGCAACAAAGCAACCACCATCACCAGCAACCACACCACCAACAGCAGGACTATTGGTATTATAATTACTATTGTTATTTTCGTAATATTGGTATTATTGGTATTGTTATTATCAGTATTAGCAACATCACCAAACCATGACTACAGGTTCAGCACATCAATAGCGGCCCAATAGTCACCAGCCGGGCTTGTACATGCTGCATTTCGTTCATAGACTCAGACGGCCTACAGGCCTTGATGAAGGGCTTCTTCGGAAGGTTGGGTCGAAGGTTTCGGACTTAAGAAGTATTGCTTTGATTTCGGTCTCTGGCATTGAACCCTTACCAAAAGGGTACAGCTTTAACCGCAGAAACACTTCGTCTTCGGGTTCCCAGGTAGGTCCTCATCCGGAAGCAGCTGCAGGGTAGGCGCCGGAGTCGCCAGCTGGCTCGGCGTCGACACCGGCGGGTGGCTTGGCCGACAGGTTGCCAAGAGCAGCAAGAGAGCCAGAATGCAGGAAAGAAGTTTCCTGAGTTCTAAATCTCTTCTAAAGTAAGTCTACTGAAGTTGGTGGCCGGAGGCTTTTGATTAACAGTTTGATTTAAGCTAGTTACCTGACGCCGTTGTTAAGGAGTTGGATGTCGTTAGTTAAAGAGAAAACTTCTGCAATATCATCAGCAGAGTAAGGACATCGGACTAATACACACAACCAGACCGCCAGGGTTCCTTGTTGTGATTAATTACGCTTACTCTAAGATTCCAACAAACCCTATTCAAAATATATCACAATAAGGCCAAGCCAATAAATATCACATCTAGAAGAACTTTTCCCAAACCCTAAACCCCTAAACCCTAAACCCAAATACCCCTAAACCCTAAACCCCTAAACCCCTAAACTCCAAATACCCCTAAACGAAGACGCAGCTTCTGGCTGGGCTTGGTCCGCTTCCAGCGATCCAGAGCAAGCTGCCGAGCCTTTTTGAATCGACCCGGTAGATCTGCCTCTTTGCTCCTGATTTAGGGTTTGGGGGTTTAGGGGTTTAGGGGTTTAGGGTTCAGGGGTTCAGGGGTGTAGGGGTTTAGGGGTTTAGGGTTTAGGCTATAGGATTCAAGATTTAAGGCACGCTTGCATTAGAAAAAGTGTGGGGTCTAGGCTTCAGGGACTATGGGGTCTAAGTGGACTTCAGGGTGTATAGTACCCCCAGATAAGGCGAAAGGAACTGGCACACCACTGAAAGCCTAAAGCCTTAACCCTCTAAACCCCTAAACCCTAAACCTTAAACCCCCGAAACCTACACCCTAAACCCTAAACCCGCAAAGCCCTAAACCCCATAACCCGACTGAGGCTCGACTTCTTCACCTTCTTCAGCAATTCGCTTGTATGCCTTGGTCTCAGGAAATGCCTCGGGGTTTAGGGTTTAGCCTAGGGGTTTCGGGGTTTGGCGATTTAGGGGTTTAGGGTGTTTCTGGGTTTAGGAGTAAGGGGTGTCGGTTTCAGAGTTTAGGGTTTTGGGGTTTTGGGCTTGATCGAAGGGCCTGCGGGTGTCCTATATGGCTTTCTGTGGGGATGACGCTTATGGGTTACATCAAAAAGGGGTTGCAGATTGTATGATTAGGGTATGTCAGAGGTTCACGATAAGAGATCCCAGTGAAGATTCGAAGTGGTAAGATTCTTACTATCAGGCACCCCGGGTTTCTTAAACCTTAGACCCTGCACACCCGAAGAAACTCGCCAGACCCTTCAAAATGCATGACTTACAATACTAACAATCAAGATACTACTACTAACAACCATAATAGTGATAATAACTACCAATAACCATCAGAATAGTAATAATAGTATATACTACTGATAACCATCATAATTGTCATGATACTACCAACAACAACAATACCTGAACTAATTACCGCCAAAGATGCCCACGTGCCCTCGCCCATCCCTTCCGGGCTGCTTTCCAGCCCACCTGCACAGGCTATCCAAACATGTGGCATTTTGACTTTCGGGAAGACTACTGTAGGGTCCTTACTGATTAGAATAGGGTTTTGGGGGTTCCTTATTATGGTATAGTATACCCCCGAACAACCGCATAACAGTTCCAATTACTGAGGCCCCTATATTACAAGAACCTACCGCGCCCCTTGAAAGGAACCCAAAAGCCTGCAAGTCCAGGGCCCATATACCCAATGACAGAAAGCACTCCAACCGGCCCTTGCTCCCCAAATCCCCTAAACCCGAACCCCTTAAAAGAAGCCCGTGAAACCCCCGGAAATCCCACCTCGCTCTTATCTCTGAGCCAGTACCAAGCCCTGTCCAGCCGCGACTCCGGAAAATCATTCTCACCTTGGCTCTCCGTCTGAAGGGCTTACGGGTCAAAGCTGTTATATATGTAATATATATATATATATATATATATATATACACATACATACATACATACATACATGCATACATGCATACATGCATACATGCATACATGCATACATGCATACATGCATACATGCATACATGCATACATACATACATACATACATACATACATATTTACACATAAAGTATGTGTGTGTATGTACGTATGTATGTGTATATATATATATGTATATATATATATATGTATATATACGTTAGGCCTTATACTAGCATGGGGTGATTGGGTATTCTATGGTACTGGTACCCTGAAAGACATAGAATACATTAGACTAATTTTGTAACTATTCCCACCCCATGTTAACACCCCAAAACCCTAACCCCTAAACCTACAATGGCTTTCCAAGTTTTTGAACCCCCCAAAACTTCATTACAGGAACCCTGAAGGGGATAGTGTCATAAGTACAATATTATAATAACATACTCTGACCCCCGCGGCCCTAGACCCTAGACCTGCTGTAGGGGCCTCAATAATTAGAATAGGGTTTTGGGGCTTCCTGATTAAGCATGATATGCCCCCAAACCCTGCTCTAATTTTAAGGCCCTTAGATTATATTATGAACCCCCAAAGCCAGACTGGTCGCCTCCCTGGGAAACCTCGCGTCTCTGCAGGAGGTGGGTGGCGCCGGCGGTGGCGGTCTCGGCCTATGCTTTTGTAATTTGGGGGCTTAGAATAGGGTTCCTTTAAACGGGGTCTACAAGGGTTACTACAAGGGATCTATAAGAGCACTATAAAATACTGTAGGGGCCTTATTAGAATAAAGCTTTTGAGCGCCATTAGACTATCCTTACAAAAAGGAACTCCCCCAAATAGTATGGGTAATGATTAAGGCCCCTATGAGGCCCCCATGTTAACTAAGGCGTAGTTCTGGGCTCTGGGTTTCGGAGCCAAGACTAGGAGCCTGGGTCGGGGCCTTAGGCTATACTACTATACTACGCATATAGGACTTTAAGGGGGTACCGTCAGTAACTTGTCCGCAGGCTTTAGGATTTAAGGGTTTAGATTCCAGGGTTCACGCTCTACAGCTTGGGCTGAGGTGGTTGAGGTTGCAGGCATATAGGAATCAGGGGCTCAGATGACCAAGAGGGATTCAAGGCATGGGTTTGCGGTTCGGTTACGGCTTGGGGCCTTCACAAGTTTAGGGCGGAAAGATTTGGGATCTTGAGCTGACAGATTCATGGCACCCAACCTTGGCCGAAACCCTTCCCGCCGAGGGTAATCTAACTATGAAGGTCTTCGTGCAACGCCTCGCAGAACCCTAAACCTGAAACCTAAACTAACCAGTGATTTTGGAGTTCCCTTGGGTCTTTAGCTCCTTATCTAGTAGGGATTATCATCATCCCTGGCTGCTTAGCTCCCCCAATATCAATGGTTAGTAAACCCTAACTAAACCCCCGAAACCCTCAACAAAATTCGAAACCTGAAACCAAAACCCTAAACCCCTGAAGCCCTCAACAAAATTCGAAAGCCAGGATGCCCTATCGCTCTGGGTTCCACCCTTCGCGAGCCGTGGAAGCCGCTGTAGCTGAGGTGGTATCCGAGCCTACCCAGCGAGCCGAATGCCCCTGACTTAAGGGGGCTTTATAGAGTTTCTTATGAAGTTGCAAGGCCTTAGAATACGATTGGTCTATGTTTGTGGTATATGGCGGTTTTCCAGGGTCCTGACCTAGTGAAGGTACCCAGGACCATACATGTTCAGCCCCGCAACTTAAATCAAAGGGTATTGGCCACTGTGGGTCTACTTTGATGCTGAATGTCTAGCAACAGGAGCTGGAGTAAACACGGCAGCAGAAGTAAAACTGCTCTCATCGCCGTCATGGTCATCGAAAGCAGCAGAACCCCTGCACAGCGCCTTGGAATGGGAGCAATGCGCCGCAGCCACGGCCGCAGCTACGACGGAAGTGATCGCAGGAACGGCACTCGATTTGGCGCTGTGAAAGCTCGGCCCAGGGGAGACAGAGCTCTGCGAAGCCCTCACCTGAAGAAGGCTTATATGAGTTTGTGGGCTTTAGGATTTAGGAGTCTGAGAGTGTGTGGGGGCCTTTGGGCTTAGGAGCTTATAGGGGGTTTGGGTTTAGGGTTTATTGGTCTAGGAGTTTAGAGGCCTTTGGGTTTAGGCTTTGCCCTCACCTCAAGATAAGCTTCTATAAGGGTGTTTGGAACTCAAGCTATGAGGGTGCGATGAGGGGTTTGTGGTTGTTTTCTGCACAGGGCACCTCGAGATAAGCTTCTATTACAGTCTTCGCTTTAGGAGTTCGGGATTAGGCTATTCATGTATGGGTTGACCATGGGAAGGATTAGGGTTCAGCATCTAGGTATTAAAGGTTGTTATATGACGAGGGAACAATCCCGTTAGCTGACCCAGTGCGAAAATTAAAAAACCACTGAAGCGCTAAGATGATAAAAGGGCCTAAGGCTTAGGGGTCGGGTCTTCAGTTTACAGGGGCTTCAGACTGTGGGAGGGAGAGGTTGGCGTTGCTTTCCGAGCTTTGCGAGGATTCAAGGATTACTTCTCGTCTGAGGTTTCGGATATTGGATGGAAGGAACCTGAAAATCGAACATCGAGACAAGACCCTGCGACGAACAAGTCCGAGTCACAGACGTGTTGGGATGATTCTGCTCTTGTATTCACTACAGGCAGGTGATAGATGATTGCAACCATGGTCATGATTACTACTAATTACAGCTGAGGTTGTCGTTGTTGCCGTTCCATACCGCTCCTGCTGTGCTTACTACGAAAATTCTCACTAGTTGTATTCCGAAGATGACTTTTTGCCGCAATTGAAAAAGCATCCGAGGAACAACTTCCCGCGCTTCCGGTGCCCAGGATAGCGGCACGGAGAAGGCCAGGGAGTTGGACATGGCTAGGAAAAACTTTGGGTGGGAAGATTAGTACAGGAGCCTTGTCACGGGCTTAAGGTGTAGGATTTGAGCTTGTTTGTTGCATCGTGGATAATTAACACTCCTTGTGTTCCCAGAAGCCTTGGATTTGTGTGGGTGTGTTCTACTTTAAAACATTAGTTGGTAAGCATACCTTCATTTAAATAATTGAAAAGTCTTCTCTTTTCCGGCCCCTATATTAGGCGGGCGACCGCAGTGCCACCTTTGGCGCAATGACTGCGCCTCGAGCTACGTCTTGCTTTGAGCAGAAGACTGCGGAAACCCCAAGTGTTAGGGATCCATAGGGGAGTTTCCGAGAATTAGGGGTACCTTATTTTGGGTCCTTGTAATAAGCATCCCACTAAATGGGTCTCAGCGATGACTCGCTTGATTCCATTGATTCTGCCAGACGAAGCTCAAGAAGCCTCTGTGTAACGCAAAACTACTGCTCTCGTTATGATTTATAGGGCTCATGATACCTACGGTTGATGATATAGATCCTGCATTACCCATAATAAGCAATATACCATAATTCCCATAGTTTAGGGTCCTTAAGGTAGTGCAGGATTTATATCATCAACCGTATGTCGGCTCCTGAGGATGGCAGCCTCTTTTCTCCCCTGCCCATCTGGGAGAGATCCTTCTGGGCGGGATAATGAAATCAATCCGGGGTGTGGAAGCCCCGGCGCTGACCTGAGACAAGCTGCGCTTGAGCAAAGATTGAGGCTACCCTATCCCCAGATTCGCGGGTTCATGTCAAGTTTTACTTTAGTCCTAGACCCTATATGTACTCTGCTTGGGTTGTGCTTCTTCGTGTTCTTCACGGCAGACACGCAGTCGTCCTTTAGGGGAGAGGTTGCCGTGATGATTTGCAGCAAGCAGCCAGCCTTTTGCTGTTTTGCCCCATGACAATATTCATGAGGTATTAGCTACTAGATTTTGTAGCTCTTGCTATGGTCGCTTCTAGTTAACATTACCGCTTATGACGACGATGCTGTTTGTCACGACACTGCTACTGAAAATGAAGATGAAGGCAATCATGTTTACATATGGATTTTGACAAAAGACACCCCATGCTCCAAAGATTAGGATGTTGGCTTCGGTTTCACAGGAGATCAAGGCGAGATGGCTTATTGGCTCGAGTTATATAGGGAGCTCGATAATCACGAGAATTAAAGTGCAGTGGGTCATGTTCTTAAAATGTATTCAGGAACCCTTGTCTCATCTTGTCACATGTCTCTACAAGCAGCAAGCGGTTGTTGGGCCATGTTCAAAGGCTAAGGCCCACCAGAGCTCACCCGAAACCCTTGACTCCACGTAAGCCCGAAGGCTTAAATCACTCGAATTCTGAACTCCACATCTGCAACACCCCGACATTCCAAACCCCTGTCCTAAACCACCAAGCTCCAAACCCTAACCCTACCACCCTGAATAACCTACCTTTTTGGGGCTCCTTGTGGGTAAGCGGCAATCTTGCTCTAAGCGGAGTGCCCAGGTTTGGCCTGAGGGCCTTCTCGAAGCAACAAAACCTAACAAAGCCTGCTCTAAACTGTAAGATTACCTTTGATTAATAAAGAATGGAGGAATGGGGTACACTACTACGACTACTACTACTACTACTACTACTACGACTACTACTACTACTACGACTACTACTACTACTACTACTACTACTACTACTACTACTACTACTACTACTACTACTTCTACTTCTACTACTACTACTACTACGACTACTACAACCATTCTTCCATTCCCTACTAACCAAAGGTAAGTAAACGCAGAAGCCAGGCCTATCGAGTCCTGCTGCGCCGCGCCACGGCAGCACGCAAGCGAGACCCGGCTTCCTCAAGCAGACACCTCAAGGATGCGTTTAAGGGTCCTTCAATGGAGCCCTTATGGTCCGTAATGGCGGGCATTTGGGGTACATTAGAAGGTAGTCGGGGGGGTCTGGGCTTGTGATGCCCGGCGTATACTTAAACCCTTAACCGGCATTTCCCTCATCCCCACACTCCAGAAGCCCCCAAAAAGCCATCTAAACTTCAAACCCGCACGCCTGAGCCCTGGCATATCGGAAGGCCTGAATATGCCAACCACAGAAGCCTTTTAAGCAGTGCTTGAAGGAACCGCAAAGAACCTTCACCCCAAGTCTCTCTCTCGAGACGGCCTTACAACAGAGGCCTTGGTAAGGAGTGACTGAAGGAACCTTCAAAGGAACCTCAAACCCAAGTCTCTCTCCAACCCCTAACCCCTAACCCCTAATCCCTAAACCCAAAGCCCTCAACCCAAGTCTCTCTCTCTAGAGACTACCTTACTAAGGAGGTCGTTTTAAGCACTGCCTAAAGCAACCCTTATATACAGGAATCTTAAAGGAACCTTAAAGGAACCTCAAACCCAAGTCTCTCTCTAGAGACTCCCCCGGCCTGCTACAGGCGATGTTCATCCTCAGCCGCACGGAACACGCGAAGTCACGGGACTTTTGAGGGCCTTATATAAGGGTAATATGATTTGGCTTTGTTCCGATTTGGGTTTGTTCCGACTTGGGTTTGTTATGATTTGGGTTTGTTCCGATTTGGGTTAGTTCCGATTTGGGTTGGTTCTGATTTGGGTTTGTTACGATTTGAATTTGGGTTTGCTCCGATTTGGATTTGTTCCGATTTGGGTATGTTACGATTTGGGTTTGTCTAGGGCCCCATTTATGGGTTGAGGGCTTCAGATCAGAAAGGTAAGGCACAGATCAGAGTCATGAAAGGAAGAGAAGAGAGCAAAGCACTGAACTTGTCGCACCTGCTGTTGCTATCCTTCGTATCCTCATTGCATGCATTCCAACCAAACATGTCTGTCCACGTTTTGCGCTCCGGTGCTGGGCCCTAAGGTTTGAAAGTTTGGGGTTTCGGTTGAGCTGTTGCACCGAGTCATCATGCGATCCATATGCCCCCTCAACCCCTACACCCTCAAACCCTGAAACCTAAACCCTAAACCGTCGAAATCGCCATCTCGAAAGCTCGCTAAGTCCGTAAGCCGCAAGGCCCAACACTGCGAACCAAATCTCGACCACAATGCAGACACCTCAACTCCTACCAACCCAAATCCCCTCCGGCCTAAACCTCAAAAAGGCTTGTACAGCTCTTTTAGAACACTTATGTAAACTCTTATATGGGTGGTTGTCAAAATTAGGGTCCCTTTTTGGGTACCCTACATAATAGGTGCCGTACTGTGTTAAGGATCCACTAATTTTGACAGCCACATATGACCCTTCAGAGCCGAAACCTAAAGGCCCTGAAGTGAAAAGCAAAAGGCTCAACACAGCAAGCGTCCGCTGGAAATGCCAGGATTTCTCGGCGTCGAACTCGCTCCCGGGAGAAAGAACAAGCCGGGCCTGAAACACAACTGTAAGTCCTATTTTGGAGCTTAGGGTTTAGGGTTTGGAGTTTAGGGTTTAGGGCTTAGGGTTTGCAAGACTCTTTAAGGGCTTCGTGATTGTCTATAACATCTTATGCGGGTGTGCGACGGTTGTATAAGGGCTCCCCTGGGGCTCTCATAACGGTTTTTGTCTAAAGCTTGGGCGGGCTAATAATCCCTAAACCCTAAACCCTAAACCAGAAGTGCTGTCCAGAAGATCCGATCTACTTCTCGCCCAGTCTCCACCTAAGAGAGAGTCCCATCAGAATCCGTTCATCTGTACACCAGTGTTACAAGGGCCTGCTACACCGAGTTCTACTTTCATAGAAGGGCAGCGTACGGGTGCTCAGTTTTTGGTGTTAATCGGTTTAGCTGCCCCTTTGATTATGGCACATTTACGGGTTGATTTAGCGCGTGGTGGCTTGGGAGATTTGGGCTCCACGCATTCTCTGCTTGTCTGCGCCCGTTTTCAAGCCAATGGGGTAGGGTATGACAAATCACGCGCTGCCCTCTAACTCTTGCAACCTGAGGTTTCGTTCCCTATCTTTGTAAGTTCAGGCCTCAGGACTACCTCCCAACGATATCGCTTGCATGCTTGTGTCGTCTATCTTGGATCCTCTATGTTCGAGGGCCACTATCAGGTCATCTTGGCATCGCCGGGTGACGAGTGGCACATCAAAGACGACCATGCTCCAGCACATAAATGCTCATATGTCGGAGCGCATGACTTGGCCAGTACCGATGGCTACCTCTTGCTTTATGACCGAGTGGACAGACCGTGACGACACATGCGCTTTGACAACCACTGTGAGGCACACAGTGACATTTTGACTGGTGCCACGTCCGCGGCATGTTGGCCCCGGCTGTTCTTAACCCGGATACCGCAAGTGTGCAATTTCAGCTGAAGTGTCTCTGTCTTGCTGCGACCTGCAGCTGAAAGCGAGGCTTTCATTCTGAGCTGAGATCCTGTTGCCATGTCCTTCAGCGCGAGTCCTGTGAATGCGCGGGCATGGTACTCCGCGTAGCTGTTTTCACAACACGTGGATGCTATTCTCTCCTTTTTGGCACCTTCCTATCCTTTACCTTCTTGGTGTGTGTGTGTGTGTGTGTGTTGTTCTAGGCCTTTCGAGGTAAGTCTCTTGCTTGCTGGGTGATTCAGAACCCACGGATTGCTCCACCTTGCTCCCTATAGTCTGAGCCGTCTGTAGATGCAGATATATGCAGATGTAGCGTATGCTTGTTAGCCGCACCTTCGCATGAACTGACTGCGTGTGGAATGGACAAAACGGGGTTTGGGACTTACCGCTCTGGGGGTCTGGGGAAAAGCTTTTGGATCTGTTTCGGGATTTGGGAATTTTCAGGTGTCGCTGCATTGATGGCTTCTAAGGTTCAGGTTTTCATAGGTGTTGGGGCCAGGGTGGTTATTGAAATTTAAGGACACAGGAAATTAGGGTAGATCGATGGCTTAAGGGTGGCTAAGCGGTTAAGAGGCGTCAAGCTGCTATAGGGGTATTAACATGTTGCGACGTTGTGCGTTCTGCGGTTTGGGTTTGGGGTCTGTTGATGAAGGTTTCTAGGTGCTGTATTCCTGCAGGGTTTTACTGATCAAGGCTTTCGGGGCTAGGGCTCCGGGAATTAACGGTCTAGGTTTTGGGGTCCGGAAGTTAGGTATCGGGCCAGAGCGTGTTGCTGGTTTCAAGTCCTGAAGAAACGGCGGGGCACTGAGAGTCGGTGTGCATGCTAACATCCACAGGATATCACAAGTCGTCGTTAGCATGATGCTGGAGGTGCCTTCGATGCCCAAACCCTAGACAATACATTACCAGGGAGGCTCACAACACTGTACAATAACAAGCACAACTGCCTCGTGGAGGATGAAGCTGTTCAACTCCTTGCCGGAATCGAATCCTCGACTGTGCCATCGACATATCTTGATTTTACCTTGAAGACTCCAATTACTCTCACCACGGCTGTCCCCTCTGTGTCTGGATTGACAGCACCCCTTGATCCAGAAAGCTGATCCTAAAGCTTCACACTCTAATCCTGATGATCCTAAACCCTAAACCTTAAACCCCTAAACGTTTAACCCCAAGCACCAAATTACGAAACCCTGCTAAGCTCTCAACCTTGACCCCTATAAACCCTAAAGCTGAAAGAAATCGAATTAACCCGAAAAGCGCTTGAATCCTGCAGGCCTCAAGGCTCCAGGCGTCAATTATACCATCCCAAACGGTCAGCTCCCCCAAACCACAAAGCCTAAACCCTGAGCCCTAAAAACATAAACCGTATAAAGCCCCTGCAAGAACCGCCCGTATAGATCCCGTATAAGCCCGGTTTCTGCGCTTCATTAGGGTTTTGGGTTTCGGGTCGGGAAGAACAGCTCTACCATGAGGAATACGATCCATTGGCACTGAAGAAGGTCATTGACACTCAACGTAAAGTAGTTGATTTTCAGAAGAAGAGCAAACAGAAGATCTGTTTAGCATTCTGTTAGTGGTGGACGATTTCGCCGACGACCCAAAATCCCACTCGGGCGTATGCGTGAGTACTCGGAGCAGTTGCCCATCGCGGCCGCAATGCAGAATCCGTAACATGTTCAAGTTCATTGCACGGTGTGCTCGCGAGAACTCGTCATAATGCCATCTCGTGTATTTTTATCCACTCAGAAGTAAAATGTATTGGCTCCGATCATCACGTTAACTGCCAGTGCTTAATTCATCTTCAGACTCAAGAATATGAACGAAGTCAAGACATTGAAGTCAAGACATTGTTAGAAGACAACTCCGCACTGGTAGACAAAAGCAGATCAAGTGTACGAAAATCAAAAAGCCACCGTGATTGTTGCTCCTTACACGTTCCTTGGCATAAACATCAGTGCTACAGATGTTAGGAATATGTTCTTGATAAATGTTGAACAACGTTATGAAATAGGGGCTAGCTAACAATATAAACCAGAATATTACTAACTACTAAAAGAATGATAAAGGGCAACTGTGTAAAGCAGCGAAACTATCAAGGGACACACCCTTCTCTTCGTTAATGCCTCTACTTTCTCTTCTTCATCCAAAAACGCTTGTAATGAAACTTTCGTAGCTTTTAATATATAATATATCCGGGTACGATATCTCCGTACTTTTTGTGTTAATAACTCCATGCATACTTTATACTTATATTCAAACTCTGTCATTATATACCCATTTTTATATGTATATAAAGACATATATATATATATAGTTTGTAATCCTGGCATTTACCTTTGCTCTTGCTTTCAGCGATGCTTCATTACCGCTACCATCATTTTCAAATTTTCTAAGTTTCTTCAGTTCTCTCTGCAAGGCATTGCAATTTGCTGTAGTAGCCGAATAGTCAAGCTGTGAATATCCATCTCTTCCTTCTGTAACTACACCATTCAGTAGGCAATTGTTCAGCAAAAAATCGTTGGCGACCTCTCGCCGTATTTTTCTCTATCAATGAAGTCTTATGTTTTCGACTTGACATATTTAACTAACTCTACTGCTTTTTGACCTTCAAACCTCGAATATCTTCCTTCAACCTTTGGACACTGCTAGGACCGATAGAACCAGCATAAGATATGTCACCAATAACGTCAATACCGTCTGTAGTCGCCATAAAAGCATGTTCAATCCCTATTTCAGTTACTGTTTCGCCGTCAGTATCTCGATTTCAGAAACATGTGTTCTACACTACCAACTGCTGTAGTATGTGTAATACTCAGTCTTTCGAACAGATTATCTGAACTGTTTAATACTCTGAATTCTGGCGTTCCTGTTGCTCCAATATCTACATCGACTTCTCCTTCTGCTGTTAGAGAACCAATTACATTATCCGTTTCATTACAAGTTGTAGCTTTGTTTAGTGTTATCCCTGAAAAAGTATGTAATTGCACAAGAATTATCTTGCTTGCGGGTCGGCATTTCTATGTCCTTGTAATCAGAAAACTTGTTCTGTTGTTGATACAGCATTCTTATGAATTAGCAGAGGCTGATTGCTTGTACACTCTACCACCGCCACTAACTAAAATGCTGTTATGACATGTAGTAGATGCTTGAAAAGATGCCTCGACACCAAAATACCGCCTCCTCCACGTAATCTGTTTGCACCAGCTAGTAAACAATAAACACCACCATTACAAACTGTACTTGATAACAGTAAAGATGGGCTATCGTTGCTCGTGTTACAAGCATTAATATTCCCGCTATACAGTCTTATGCATCCTTGCCCGCTCTCAACTTGCAAAACTTTACTGGCGTCTGTTGTATCCTTATAGACTTATCGATGTCAAAGCCAGTAGCATTTCTGGCAGTTGCTCGTGCTCCGCTTAATGTAACCTTGTTATTAAGTTGTAAGTCATCTACTTGTGTTGCTCCGTCTACTGGTAGAAAATGACCGCTTGTATTCGCCTTGCCTATCCCTACTTCAGCAATTGTTTAAACTACTTAATCTCATCCTGTTAGATTTATGTATTAGTTGATTATTAGCTGCTGAAGCATCATTCAACCTCATAATGTTCTTCTGTATCTGCAGTAGTGCAGTTTCAGTCGATATTGACACATATCCACTGTGCCGTCCCGTCTCTTATTCACGATGTTGGGTCTGCGTTGCTTGACGCGATCCATAGTCAAAAACCAATAGTAGAAACTGGCCAGAATAAAAATGTTGTTCCGTTTGTTGTAGGGTTACATTAATTACAAATATTCGTATCAGTATCGTCATTGGTTCGGCTAGTTAACGCAATAGTGCTTGCTGTTTCTTCAAGTGATAGTTCTAAACAAACATTCTGTTTTGTAGCACTTGCGCATCCTTCAATACTTGCGCGAGCATCTACTATCTCTCTTGGATTAGTAACACCGCCACTTGCTCCTGCTATGAAATGTATCTACTTAGCCTTTGTTCTGTTCTTTGGTAGTGAGTTGTGAACTTGATTGACAGTTTGCGGTTAGTGTTGCGGTTGTTGCATGTGGTGTCAGTGCTGTGGCATCTATCCAGCTATTGACATTAGTTCCAGTTCTATTATAACAGTTGGTTGCTAATTGGGCGTTCGTTTGATAACTGTTAGTCAAGTTTGTATTAATGGCATTTATGGAATCAACATTGGTTAGCGCTCTACCATCAACGACGCCGACGGCATTGTATAGCTCTGCTTCATAGTAAAAATTGTTATTCAGTTGTGTTGTTGTCTGGAAGTCATGAGCTAGATAATCATCTCATGTCATTACTTGTTAAATCCTGACCCGCATTGTAAGCTATGACCGGATTTATAGCATCGTCCAGCTCTTGTTGTGTGACGCCCCCAGATCCGACATTCATGTTTCATTGTGACCACACCCGGTTGTTGCGATCTTGCGCTTATTTCCCTACGCCGGTGCTGAAGAACTTGTAAATCTCGCTGGCATAAACCGTGCTCATATTACTCAGTGAAGCAATTCTGAAACATATCTAGGCTTAAACCAATTTAACAAGGAATTAAGAAGCTATGAATTTTGTTCCTCCTTGGCCTGCTGGCGTTTCTATCTTCGCTTTCTGTCGATTTCTTCTTTATTTGCTTCATAACATGCTTTCTTCTGTTGTAATATTGCTCTGATAGTGTTTCTGTATTTCGTTCTCTGTAAAGTTTATCATAGACTTGCTTTGCTCTTTGCAATTGTCCGCATACTCTTTCATCTTGACCTTTTTGACTTCAATGTTATCATAATAGTTGTTGTTGCTCTTGGCCTTTATATGGTCTTGATTATCTTTGTCCTGCTGTTTTCTATCTCTGCCTGCCGTATTTCCATTGAGTACATTTATTGTTGCCGTCTGTCTAGCAAAAGGTCTGTCTCTTGCTCTTACTTGGTCATTGTTTTCACACGGGTATGCTTCTATGAGTTCTATGTGGAAGTTTTCTACACTCAGTTCGTTCATTTTACGGTATATCTTATGATGTTGCTTGTTGTGTGTGTGTGTTCTCGTTTCACGATGCTTTGCCATTCGCTTGCTTAATAGTTGACAAGTAGAACCGATGTAAATATCATCAGTGATATTGTTTCTGATGCAATAGATTTTGCTCACGGAGAAGGCATATTAAGAACTCTCCGGCACGGAACAATTGAGAGTAGGTAGAAACATTGCAGGAGCTTTAACCTCAGGTCACGATCTAACAACATCGGTAATTGGTGGACTGGCAGAACCAGTTTTGAGTGGATTAGGCGACACAGTTATGAGAAGAATTTTACCGCAACCCACCCCCCTTCCTGAGATTCAGGCACCCCTATCGCCATCCACCCAGATACCCGCGTATGCGTATGACAAGCCCCAATAAACAACACTTGCCTCCTGCCGTTCAGCAACCAGCACTATGAGCACAACAGCCTAAGTTTCAGCAAGTTGGTTAGCCTCGTCTTCATTAAGTGGTCATGTTCAACTCCCGCAAGGCTCTGCAAGACCAATGGGAAAAGAAGAACACGCACGAAGACTTGAACAAAAGGCAACCTTAAAAGCAAGATCCAGAGAATATACGGCCACACCACCTGACGAGCTCAACTTGAGACTAATGATAAGTCCGAGTAGAATAGGCAGTCAGAAGCTACGAGATACCTTTGAAGACGCAAACAACAAAAACATGATACATACAACCACTTGCAAAAAATCCCGAAGTCTCTCAAATCAGTGGGCTTCATCTGCTGGTGTTCCTGCTGGGAAGAAAGCACCTCAGGGATTAGAATAAACATATAGGAAGCTGTGTTAACAGATAAACTGTCTAAATACAGTTTATTCATGGTCAATATAGTCTAACAGAGTTATTCAACCGTCAAGCCAAAAGGAGAAAATTCGATGCGGCAGAAGACAACAAGAAGACAATTTCATCCGTGGCTTCTGGGTACGGCGACTTCACCAAACAGTAGGATGAG